ATGAACGTGAACGGAAATAGCAACACCTCAACTCACAAGCGGCTACCACCCAGGAACAGGTACGACAGATCAAACTCACTCATTTTATTTAATGTCCCAGTATCTGAAGGAAGCTTGCTAGAAGGTAAAGCTGTCTCCGACAAAGAGCGGTGAGTGTAAATAAATTTCTACAGTGGCCGTTCCAATGGGTTCCAATAGGGGCACTCCTGTACGATTTTCCCAGTTCCGGGTCCCAACCAATTCAAAAAGGACAAAAATTCTAGGAGAAAGCGTCTTTATTAATTAAAAAAATGGAAATACAAAGCATTACCTGGAAATAGTGCCTCTTCCAGGGTACAATTACTCCGAAGAGTATCAGACACAGTGACAGATAAGTGACGCTAAGTCCAGCGGCCACTGCATCAATCCAAATATGGCAGTAGCCATATTAAAGATCAAATTTAAACAACATATGTACAGTTCAGAAGCAAACACAAAAACTTCAATATAAGTACAAAATATAGAAAGAATAACAATATACAATGATAAAATCTCAAATTGGAATCAAATAAAATACCAAAAATGTCAACAGAAAAAGTCCGTCATGTCATAGCAAAAATATGTAAACATGGAGGGATTTTCCAAAACACGAAGCATTCAAAAAGGATTCTACACCGGCCCGCAAAATCCCTCCATGCAAAAAGAGCAAGCGTTAATGACACTTTATTTAGGGTTCCCAGTTATCCCCTAATCCACCGCCAGTGTGGTAAACGATTAAAATTCCAAATGTTTCTTTATAATTCTTAATAATCCAACTGTAATTGTTCTTCTTATCAAAAGGTAATAGATAATTCCAGAATATACACGTTCATAGGAATAATTCCAGGATATAAACGTTCATAGGAATATTTCTAGAATATACACGTTCATAGAGATATTTCCAGACTATAAATGAATTTCTACAGTGGCCGTTCCAATGGGTTCCAATAGGGGCACTCCTGTACGATTTTCCCAGTTCCGGGTCCCAACCAATTCAAAAAGGACAAAAATTCTAGGAGAAAGCGTCTTTATTAATTAAAAAAATGGAAATACAAAGCATTACCTGGAAATAGTGCCTCTTCCAGGGTACAATTACTCCGAAGAGTATCAGACACAGTGACAGATAAGTGACGCTAAGTCCAGCGGCCACTGCATCAATCCAAATATGGCAGTAGCCATATTAAAGATCAAATTTAAACAACATATGTACAGTTCAGAAGCAAACACAAAAACTTCAATATAAGTACAAAATATAGAAAGAATAACAATATACAATGATAAAATCTCAAATTGGAATCAAATAAAATACCAAAAATGTCAACAGAAAAAGTCCGTCATGTCATAGCAAAAATATGTAAACATGGAGGGATTTTCCAAAACACGAAGCATTCAAAAAGGATTCTACAGTGAGATAAATTCTGCTCAACCTTCGGAATGTGCGACGTCCCAGCCAAAATATGCCGCCTTTTGGATTCGGGAAGACCTGACTGAAACACTGTAAGCTTGGTTTAGTTCGAGGAACGATCTTTATAGCCATATCAGATGTTACGAAAGCCGACCTAGATCTATGAGACAACAGCAGGGAACCCAAGATGAACGCACAAAACTGATAGTCAACTACCCCTGGCACAAGACATGATCGAACCGACCGCGGAGGCCAGTTCCCACAGAACTGGCCGATTCGGTTTGAATTACTTGTCTTAAAACCCCACAACGGCTTCTGGTGCGGAATTCCCCCAGGTGCTCAGACAAACCACCAAGTGACTCTATAGCAACGTAAGAAAACTAAGGGGTAAGCTGTTAGAATTCAGGAATATTTGCTCTCAGATTGATCTGAAGATCATAATCCTAACTGAAACATGGCTATCCGCTGACATTGCAGACGCAGAAGTGAACTTGCCGGGAATAACACTCTTCTGAAGCAAGAGGGAACACCGAACTGGAGGCGGAGTGACGATATATATATATATATATGCATATATTTATATATATATATATATATATATATATATATATATATATAGCCACTTAAAAGCAGAGCGACTATACGACACCCGAATAACAAAGGTGAGAGAATCATGTTGGTGTTGTTTCCTACTCGAATGGCGCGAAATATTTGATTGGAAGGATCTACCGACCTCCTTCTGGTACTAAGGTTTAGAAAAGCAAACTGTTTGAGATATTAATGCAACTGCCACTCCTGGGGTTTCATCAAATACTCTTAGATGGAGTGTGGACAGACCTCCATTCATTAGGCATTACCGAACACCTAAAACCTTACAGAAAGAACAAGAATCGAGTGCGAAAAAATCAAATTGGCTTACACTAGCTCCTGAAAAAGATATTGGATGTATATTAGAGTAAAGCCTGATGACGATCTAATCGAAAACAATACTGTTCGCTTATATGTGTTGTTCTAAATTCCCAGTCATCCCAAGAAGAAAGCAATTTATCTAAACAATGTTACACTGTTCTTTAACATAATTTAACACAATGTGTTTCCAAATCTGGAAGAATGCTTCCGCATAAGTCCAAAATTGCACCCTTCTAGTCCAGATTCAAAGTTCACCGCCCAGGGTGTCAAAGCCGATATGGCTGACACCATAATTAAGTATCAAGTTAAACAGCATAATACAGTTCAGTAGAAAACATAGAAACTCTAATAAAGGTAAAAAAATTGTAACTATAACAAAATACAAATATTAATATCACGAAATGGGATTGAACAGAGTACCAAAATGTAGCACAGAAAGAGTCAGTAAGAACATATTACAAATATATAAATGGAGGGATTTTCCTAAAACAAAGCCTTCAAATTGGGTTCTACACAAGTTATTAGTGGGATTTCTGTAACATGCGCTACAATCCGTTATAAGATTAGGCCATTTTAAGTAGGGTCTTTGAATCTGCTTTTGAACATTTTGGGAGCCTTGTTGTTTCCCGTAACCGATACTTACCGTTAAAAGATACTAGGCTTATTAAAACAATTCTTAATTCCCTTTTCGTATCAGCTCGGGTTGTTGCTCCTACGGTCGACTGTTTAGTGCATCATCTTTTTAAAGGTACCGGTAAGCTAGTGAGAGTCGATATTTGGAAACAGGCATCCTGGAGCCACCAGTTTTCATATTATCGAGCCAATGATTAGTTCAACCGTGGGAACTACAAAATTGTTGTTCAGAGCAGCTCAATGAAGTTGACTGAAAATAGATAAATTAATGATGCAAACAGCATGAATCAAGTGTAGGAATTACATAAAGACCGAAACGACTGACGGCAAAACGGGCATAGATAGCTGAATGATAACAGTTACGACAGGTATAACCATACTGATAATAACAAATAACTCGCTCGTTATTTCAGGTAAAGACCAAGAATGACTGGTAAGTTCACCTTCGTCAAGCATTCTTTTGCAACAGTAGGTGAAAGATTTTGGTTACTTCGTCTTGCAGAGTACCCTAAACTGTATCACCCCCTAGTGATGGATAGTCTGACCTGAGTTCGCTGTTTCATGAAGGACTATTCTTCTATAAGCGGACGATATTATTAACCCCATACATAGTCTTGAGACAGTATGCATACGACTTCAGTCACTGAATTGTGACATGTTCAGGCTTTCACTGCAGTCACATCAACTCCCAGCTGGATGGAAACAATATACTCTGTCTCTAATCTTCAAAGGAGGAGATAGAAAGGACCCAGCCTGCTACAGACCAGTCGCACTACTACCGATATTATCAAAGGTAATGGAAGCGCTGAGGAACGAACAAGTGAGGGAGTATATGGATAAGAAAAAATTCCTCCATGAGGCTGAACATGGGTTTCGGAAATGTAGGTCGCGTGCATCTAATCTCCTCACAGCATGGGAGAGTTGAACATCTTGCTGGAGCCGAAAAGTACAGGTGCATTTAACGTAACATGATTTTGCAAAATGGTTCAAGAATAATCCTCACGAAGACAGAATCAAACACTTTTGATCATTCCCTTTGGTTGACAGGAGGATAAGAGGTGAACTCATAACATCATACAACATATCGAGTCCGGTAAATCATCCCAACACGAGCATCTTTTCGAAATATCACCACCACGCCAAAAATCAATCAATTTCTTGGCCAGTGATGTGCGTTCATCCGCTAGGACACTTCAAGTTGTCAACAAGTGACCTGCCCGTTGGACCACTTATAATTGGCTCTCTTTTAGTTATCATGAAAATGGACCCCTTTGCGAGCTTCTCACAAATTTTTGTTTTAACTTCGACCAATCGGACACATAATTTTACCGTTCGGACAAACTGAAATAATTTTCTTCTACTGAATGAGGAGCCTTCCCATTTATTAGTTTATTCTCTACAATGTTACTGATATTAGTTCTGCTTCTAAAATATGCGCAACACTTTTAGAGGGAAGTGTAGAAAGTATTGAAACAACTAGAGAAGTGAAGTTTGCACATTAAGCATTAAAATCTGCGAGAAAATATGGATTGTAGACTGGTGTAAAGACCCATCATAATTCTCTTAAATCTGAAATCGCAATACTTTCGTGAAATATTATATAGAGATCGTCTTAATTAGAAGCAATCAGTGACACGATTGCTTAACATGAAAAATACAATTGCACGAAGTCTATGGTTACTAATTGGTTAAACCACTATCATTGACCTCCCTATTAGTGAGAACTAAATACAGTAAGCCTTTAGATAACAAAAATTTATCTTCCTAGTAATGTCTACAACTAGATAAATTGTAATTGAAATAACATCGAGTTCTGACTGATCAATCAATATTGATTTCTCAGAAGATTATCGACAAGTGAATACGTTGATATATGTTCACAAAACTAAAGATTCCATAGATGCTTGGTTAATCAGTTTTGGAAGAAACGTTTATTTTGTTAAACTGTTAATGTCTCGAAAACTTTTTGAAAAAATACATACAACTGTGTAGAAATATTAACAGAAAAATAGAAAACTATTTGTTCTTTTATTTGTTACTGTTTGTCTGAAATAATTCGTACTAAAATAACATTAGCACCACGAATAAATAATTGTTGTTCACCATCGTCACTGCAAACTTTATTATCTCGAACATTATGTTGTTTTTCAGTTAAAGGATGTTTTCGGTTAGTTTGTAGACTATACCAAAGTGAGCTATAATAAATAATAACAATTAAAATATAGATTTTAAAAAAGTACTTAAGTTGAGAAGGTTTTGTGCAGATTCATTGGTTAAATATGTAAATTGTATTCGTCACAGGTCAATCTTATTTAGGGCATCACTGGGAAGTAAAGGAGGTTACGTACTAGTATGAGATTTTTCAACAGTTCGTACACATGACTTGAGCGGAGATAAAACCGCAGAGCTTCAAGTCAAAACGCGAACACCTGAGCACTAGAACTGCTTTGGTGTAATCCACACTTCAATCACAATTGGAGGTACAGTGTGTTGACCACCCAATGTCATTTATCAATGGACAACCGTTCGACTCCCGACATGTAAAGATTTCACCAAGTAAAAAAACATCAGAAAAACTCAGTGAAGTTTTTCATTTTATGCCTACAGACAATGTAATTATAAATTACGAATAAGCGATCAACTTATTTTTCAAAATTGAATTTCAGTTTAAAATCTTTTTAACCTTATCTATAACGTGATTCACAATCAACAATTTTATCAAAGGTGTTGAAGTGAACCGAATGCCAACGTATAAATTTCAATTTGAAAATAATTCACTTAATTTAGAATCAATATTTATCGGACCAAATTATCAGACTTGATAATTATTTAAACAATGGCGAAGAAAATTAACGCAATGAAAAGCAATGGTGAAAAACGCTTTGGCATCTCAGTATCAGGGCACTACAATCAAAACTGAGAGGAGGTACATTATTGCAGTTGACTAGCACCAAACGAGGTGAAACATGATCAGTCCTGGATTCAACTCGTAAATATAACCCAGATATATGCCAGTAGTATTAGTGAACAACAGTATCGGAAAAATCATCTCATAATCATCACATATAACTCGGACAAAAATGAATAAAACTAAGGAAATAATACTATAAATTGACAAATGAATTGTGGCTAAGATTAGAAGTTAACATGCGTATTTCGTACCGTTTGTGACCCATCGGTATTGATGCTCATACTGGGTGGGGATCGGACTTGTACCGTTTGTTTCAAACCCTCAAAGTATGATCTAATCAGTTTGGATAACGAACACTTTGTTCAATGGGTATGACGATCGCAGCATAATTATAAACCGTTTAAATTACGTTGTAGATAGATATTCTAGATTAAAATTCGACCATTGTCCATTAGCATATATGTACACTGTGAAGATTCAATCAATATAAATATGTTTGTCAAAAGTTTTATAGGAAAAATGGATTATGACTAGCAATGGAATCTAGAATGCCCCTACTAACGTCGGAAATTGGGAAATGTATAAAACATGTAATCTATTTCAATTAAAACTATAAAAAATGTCCCAAGATTAAATCGTATTAACTTTACTCGTAAAATTGCTGAGCACAAACACATGATCAATCGTAACTCTTTAATACCATTAAGTTAAACGCTTTCTCATATAACTCTCATATAATTTAAAAAGTAAGCCATAGAATATAAAAAACTTACATATCTGACAATTCGGACATATTTCGTTCATTCAAATGAACCATGGATGCTGTCCAATTCGATGATTTGTCATGATAATAATTACTAGTATTCTCTTTTGAATGATTATGAACATTTGCTAAAACACTTTTATTAATCTGATTACATTTTAAGATAGATTGATTATCATCACCATCATTTATGTCGTCAGATAAAGGAGATTTACCAAGTAGATGAAAAGGTTTCAGTTTATTGATTTCTTCGTTGTTTGTATCTCGTCCAATAATCTCATCTGGATCATAATCATCATATTGATAAGGAAATAATTGTCCAATTTCTAATGGTTTATCTAATGGGATTGGATTTATTTACAAACAATATATAAGGCGTGAAAAAAAGACACATATCAAGGTTGGTAGAGTTTGAAAGATGTAGGATAATAATTTCTAGCGAAATAATTAATGAACTGAAGTGACAGTACCGTGTTGCAATGGAAAGAGAGGGTTAGAAAAGATCGGGTCTAAAAATAAACAAACACCTGACCTTGTCCTATCGAAGGCCTTAAAAGTGCAGAATAAGAGTATCAAGAACTACAAGCGAAAGAATTGAGAGTAGCCAACCGAGTCCAATCAGTTGTCCATTCAATACTATGGTAACATTCCCAGGCTGTCAAGACCACCTTCCACTCGATTTCTTTTTCAGATGATCAGAAAGTGTCCTTTTGATGTGTGTGAAAAAGAGAAGTGACAATCAGTCTCATATTTCTAACAGCGGTTAAGATCATTTTGTTTAAAACCAAACTCCACCTTCATTAATTACTATTTCTAGTAAAGTCAGTGAGTATTTATATCTGTTGTGTAATCAATGACAATGACTTTTATAGACTCTAGATTTTGTAGGCACTGAGTTCCCGACCGTAGCTGCTACCTGGACGCCCTGATCGCGGTTGCCTATCGTGATGACCAAAACTGGCTGGAACACCTGTTCCTTCAGGTTCTACCATGCCATGCAGGTCATTTAGTGAACAGCAAGGCTAAAAGCAGCAAATTAAGGTCTGAGGGCGAAGTGGTACTGCTGACTGTAGGGTGTGACAGCAGAAAGGTGTTTCCCTCAGACAATCCGCACTTGCAGCGATGCCTTCTCACAAAGGAAGAGGTTAGAAAAGGTAGACCTTAACTATTATACACTTCACCTTACCCAATGAATTTCCGTCTCCGGCAGTAAGGCCTTCTGAAGAGCGGAGCTAACAAGTCAAAAAATTCCCATAAAAGTTTAACCATGTGGTTTGTGAAATTAATGATTGATCGATGTTACAAATTGATTAGAGCTAGAAATACGAACAGCAGGATAGCAACCCATTGGTCTGAGCGTTAAGGGCTCACTTTGAGGTCTGAAGGTTCTGCTCAGTTCCATTCCTCGATAAGTTGCACATGAACACTGTTGAAAAGTTGCATACAAAGATGAAACAACTTTTTATTGTCTTAATTTTCAATAGTGGTTTAATCGAAGTCAGTTAGTACTATGAAACTTGAAGTTTCACCGTTCTCCAACATCCCCTATGATAACAATCTTAGTTTGGTTCTTTACTAATGATTAAAAAAATGTCTAATTTCTAATTAGAATTTATTGAAATCATTGACTAGACTAATTGATAAGATACTTGAAATGTAAGAAACTTTGGAATTATATCATTGAAAGGGAATTCCACAAAGAGACTTTAAACACATTTAAACTCATATAGTAACTGTGAACTTATTAACTAAGAACAGACTTGCGGACTGAGCTGCCAAGTATACTGTAAATGTGTAAGGGTTAATGATACTACCCGGTTTCTCAAAATAAAGAGAATTACGATTCGAATCTGAGAAGTGGTTGGTGAAGATCGAATGCCTTAACCTCTGAGCAACCTCTTTACTAAAATCCATCAAAGATAGATATCGTTGTACATTTCATGGAAATTCATACTTCCTGAGGATTTCAATTTGATTTGAAGAATTTAATACTTTTCTAAGAATTATAAAACCAAGCATTAAATGGTAACTGGTAGTTTACTTTAATTATCAAAGCTGATCATGAGTCTACTGATCGATAGATAACAAGTTAGAAAAAGGTAAATTAAAGGCTTTTCAAGTGTACAACTAACAAATATGTCTGTCATTTAGTTAAGTTCAAAACATTTATTTCAATACTCGAAAATGAACATGAAAATCAATCAGTATTCAATCAAAATATGAATCATGATATAAAATTACAAATATAAACATCATATGTATTCAATGAATTGTGTTGGACAAAAAACTAATGTCTACTTGTCTCAATTTTAATAAATGAGTTCAGAACTTTATGATATGGCATTAATCACATAATGTTCACTATATTATCGAGTGAAATATTTCTTATCTTGTGTAAAGCATGTTGTTGTTTTTTTCTAGACATTCCATCTACACAGATCATTGATCATTATACAACAAAATGTCTAGTTAAAGTGAACCAGAATAACATGAAAGCGTATTTGATAGATAACTAGTGATTTACAGACATAAGATATATGGTTAATGACTGTTAGCTCAAGTCATGTTTGTAGTTCCGAATTATCTAAAGTAGGGATCCACAATATAAAATCGTAACCACTGGTTACATAAATTAGGTGATATGACTTCAAAATCGGTCATATTGATGCAAATACAATCACTCTTTATCATTTTTTGTTAGATTTCAAGTGCTAGTTGTCCTTTCTCATTATCACTGGCTGTTACATCGATTCGTCAGAGATTAATCTCACTGATTTCGTTTCATCATGTTTATATGGTACAGAAAATTGAACTAACATAATTGATTGAATTAAAACAAAAAAAAACTTAAAATTAACAACAACCTGACCGATATGGAACAACTTGATGAAAAATAATTCAATCAATTAATAGAGAAATATTGCAAATATACATTTACCATGATTCAGTTGATCAAGAGTTTGAATGGATGGACATTGTTTTGACTGAAATAAAGTTTGGTTATTTCGTTGCATTGTTCGTAAACGTTGTTCCCGTCGCTTTTTACTTCGTCCAGGTTTTCCATACTAGAAGAACAAATTCAGTAGATGTTAGGATATTCATCCAATATCATAAGAGAATTATAGGTCAATTCCTATTGGTTAATTTTATGATGGTCCTAGATATCAATGTCACGTGCTCTAATGTTGTTTCTTATTGGTTGTTCTGATTATCAATGTCACTTCAAATGTTGTTTCTTATTGGTCGTCTTAACTGTCAATGTCACAGACTTCGAAGATGTTTCCTATTCGATCTAAATGTATAAACATGCATTACCTGTAACGTTTTATGACCAGAACTCGGTCCCGGATCACTAGTCCGGGATCCTGATTCTCTTCTGGATTCGGACCTCGTACTTTCTGAATGCTTGTAGATTACAGGTTCTACTTCATATCAAGTCTTCTTATTTTTATTCAATATGGGAGTTGGGATAATCGGATGTGATTAGCATGTCGTGTCGCCGGATCCTCGCTCTCGTTTTCCGACTAGGTAGACTCGTAATAGTTCAAGCATATCAAAATGACATGTTTACGTGCAAACGTAATAGTAGAATAGTAATATGCAATGATAATGATGAAGCAACATGAGTAATGTAATTTACTTTATTGAAAATATGTACTTTGTTGTTGTTGTTATCGAATTATGCTGTACAATATTAACAATTAACAAAAAAAAACAAATGCCAACAAGTTAGTCAACAGGACGACGACAATTCAGCGGTTAAAATGCATTCAACTATGCTGAGTTTATATTTCAGTCTACTTACTTTAGCTTGAGAAACTGGATAGTATTACTAGCTAGGCCTTACACTTTAAGTATGACTTTAACGGAAGGAAGGAAGTACTCACCTACTGACATCTTAAGGTACAGTAGTAACCTATACCTTTATCAACTTATGCTATGACACACTAGTCTTTGTTTCTGCCTATTTTTACAGGAAAGAGAGTCACTGTAAACATTTAATTTGGTCTCTTTTCAAACATTTTTGTCAATGATCCCCTACTTGAGTCAGATTTTGAATCGAATCAACTTTGATCCACTTTCAATATGATCTTATTAATTATTTATTGTGGTAATTTTAATGTCAATAAAATAGGATCAAGTTAGCTAACATTAACCAATTTTTCTTTCAAAGTTTTTAGCCAAGTATAAAGATTATTTCGTTATCATTAATCGACTACAGATTTTGTTTACACAGGTTTAAGTCTAAATAGTTTGAAATTCACGTATACTATTCAACTATTGATAACAAAGTAAACGAAATCCAGTTCAAGTATGTGGCCTCATGATTTATGGTAGAGTTAATAAGGAATACACTGTATACATTACTAAAGTGACAGTTCTTTGAAGTATATGGATACAAGTGTAGGTTAGATGGTAATTTTAATACGCAAACTAATGATATTAAGTTAATCCGTCAACATTATATAAGAGCAGTTTGCACTCAGTGAAATAACCAAAAAAGCTTATCCTGCTGTGATAGATCATTGGAGATTTTGACTAATATATTTGATGAGTCGGAATCGGTAGCAAAAGTTCAGATGAACTCATTTTTCGTTTTTTCATATTATTTCGTATATTTTATCAAGTAAATTGATTCCTTTTTTTTCACTAATCACATTATCTACATTGAATCTTTTCTACTATCACGGATATAGTATTACTAATGCGGTGTGAGCTACTTATAAGTAGTATATGACGTGAGTGTCAACGTAATGTCTGGCAGCAGAAGAGGAGGAGAGATCAAGAAAGGAAGAGTTAGAAAACAATGGAATTTGTATGAAACGCATGAATAGTGACAATGGATTGATGTTTTGCAACAGGAACAGTCCAGTTCGATATAATGAACTGATATTTTGCAAATTAACGATTTACGATATGGTTTTCCAATTTTACTGAGTAACTCTGTAATTTTCGTTAAATACAATTCGGTTGCCCAACCTGTATTCTCTTTCACTACACTAATTCCAGTACTTCAGCATTCATCTTGATGATTTCATCTCGTAATGATGAGGTGTGGGAACTCGTTGTTTCCCACTGAATGACATCAAGATATATTCTTTAAATAAGAAATTTAATTAGCTGAATAAATATAATGCTGAGTAATATAACCGAATAATCTGGATACCAACTTACATCAACCAAGATTTAATGATCGAATCAAAGTGATCCAACTAAGGAATAACTAATTTTACTCAACTAGCTGCAGATAGCCATATAATGGCAATAATATGTAAGGTATTCTAAGGCTGTGTAATTTAGAACAAATTAACTAAATAAAAATAATCTGAAAATTTAGTATCTATGAATTATGCATTTGAATCCGATTAACAAAACAAATACTAAAAGTGCTTATATTTCTTAAAAATTGTGAAATGATCATTTTTAAACCATCGTGAGAAACCTGAAATCTCTGACTAACCGTTTCATCCTCGTATGATACTCCTCAACGGTGTTCATCCCTGATCCTACACGAAAGGATTGAAACAACAACCTTCTGTATAATGAGTGAACACAAAACCTCAAGACCATTGAATCAGCATCCGACTGTGTTAATATTTAACTTCAATCAATCCACACTATTTGCAGACAATATTTCACTGCGTTTGGTAGATGAGCACTGTTGAGGAGTTCCATATTAGTATTAAATAGCCATCCAGTGATTAAAAGTTACCGATGGTAGTCCAATATTGATCGGTTCGTGAATTCAATGAAGCTCAGTAATCTCATCATAACCCTGTGCTGAGTTTTAGATTTCTGTCAGTTAATCTAAACAATATTCATTTATTTGCATATGATCCAAATTAACATCATGTTCATATCAAGATATAAAATCGTAGTGAAATGAGTGTGAAATAATATTCATATATAAAACGCAAACCTACACCTTTCAAAGCTGACTTCGGAAGATTGACAGAATATTCAATCACATTTTCTAGAATCTACAGATAATGTGGAAAGAAATAAAAGAAATAAGGTTCATCAAATATATATATATATATATATATATATATATATATATATATATATATATATATAATCAGTCAGTGAACTACAACGTAGAACTTCGTACGTACGTACATCAGTTCAAGTTGCTATATCGCTGTTCTTCAGTGTTGCTGATTACTTTGTCTTCCTTGCTTTTCACTGGTCGTGCTGTTTTACGATAGTTTCCACCGACCTTCTTTGTTGTATTGTACAATGGTCTCATGTTTCCTTCTCTTGCAGCCTTTTTCGCCGTCATTGCTAGATCATCCACATATTTTCATTTGTCTGTTCTGATGCTCTTCTTTACTTTCCTGTTTACTTCTGTGTATTCAGCCTGTGCCTTGGCCTCTTCTGCTCTCATTCGGCTGATGTTGATTGCTACCTTCTTGTTCCTCCTTTTTTGAATTGTATTAAGAGTCCCAGTAGAGATCCATTCCTTGTGGTTGTACTTCTTGTGGCCCAAAAACTTATGACACACTAAAAATGATTCATCTTTAAATCCTTTCCAGTTGTTCCCCATGGTAGTTTCATCTTCACTGAGAGGATCGTGAAAGACTTCAAACTTAGTGTTGAGATCTATTTTGAATTCGTTGAGTTTGCCAGTATCCCAAAGAAGCCATCATGCAAGTTAAATCATAAATTGATCACACTTCGAAGGACATATATTAAAAATGATAATTTAGATTATAATAGTTTGGATTAACTTGTTGTTATTATTTCTGACGGAAGTTAAATCAGTCTTAGTTGAAGTAAATACAACCTGTGAGGATTTCCTCAATACAACATACATTTATGTTGAATAGATGAACTGTACATGTTCCTTTATCAATTATAACTTACTAAATTCCAATAACGATCAAAAGCAACTAAATTGCCAATCAGCGAAGCACGAGGTTCTTTTAAACCACGAGTCATAACCATTACTTGACTTTGATTTTGCATGGCTTTCCACAGACTAGCCATAGGACTGAAAATACGTTGCTGCTGTTCATTACGCGAATGAAAATCGCGTGTGCCAAAATGAATTCGTGCAGGATCGAAACCTTATTCACCATTAATACAAATAAAAACAATTATGATGAAAGTATGTATTTGGTTAGTAATATATTATTCATTATAATTCATGAAAGGTTTTTCTGGGGACCGATTCGGAATTACTAAACCTGTTATTAGTTTACATTACTACTTTATATTACCAAGCCAACTAAAAATAGCCCCACATTATTAACTTATGTGCCAAGAGGTTGCTCTTTTCCACGGTTATACAAATACCACAAACACTTTATATTCTTTTCCGAAAAAGTAAAACCTACTTACAAAACTTGATCTCTCTGTGTACTTCTCTGAGGTTTTTCACTGCTGAAACATCAATTTGTTGGGTGTCAAGGAGTTACCCACCGGATTCAGTAGATGATGGTCGCACAATGTTGAGGGTTGGTTAAGTTAGACATTAACGCTGTTTGATGACGGTCCGATGGTCAAGTTTTCGCGCAGGAGACCGAAAGTCCCAGGTTCGACTCCCGCTTGAGGGATTACGGATACACATTGACAGAGTCTTATACGGGGACGAAACGGCTGGTCAGTGGTTTCAGGTTTCTAATGTTGATCTTAGACCAGTTCATCATTTGGATAAAATTCAATAATCTTTACAACCCCAAATTGACAATTATCGTGTGCACACTCATTAATGACTAACTTCAAAAGGAAATTGACAGGGTTCTAGTGAGAAAACGTGTCAGTTGAGCTAAACCCTGTCCGATGTGAGTTAATTAGTTACCCACCGGATATATTGGTGATTTCATTTATTTCATTGTTTTATGTTTGTTCATCTGTTAGAAGTGGTTACATCGTCTGCAATTTTTACCAATTCAGTAATGAAATACAACAGCTGACTAAGTCATTATCTAGCGATACGATGAATATTTAATTTCGACCTATCAAGAAACTATCCGACTTTATTAGTAGAGGTGGATAGTGGCTAGTAGTGGAATCCAGAGCGTGCTCCTCAACCTTCATCTAAGAGTTGGTGTTCACTTGGGGATTGAAACCCAGTACCATTTCCTTCAAAGGCCATCATGTTATCCACCTAGCTAGCAGGAGCCACTCCGTGACTACAGTCGGACCCATGAGATGACATAACTCTTCTGAATGAAGACCCTCTAACAACCAAGAGAGAGTTTAAATGGCTTCAATTATGTTTTCTGGTCAGCGTTTTTTTATCGAGTTAGTTTTCTGTGTGACGGGGTTGCCAGCCACATGCACAACCTTCTTCCTTTATCCGGGCAGGGGCCAGCAGTGGAGTCAGAGGGGTTTCAGGCAGAGTTGTGAACTACAGAGGCATCACTATTTATTCAATACCAAGAAACATTTTCAATAGTGTTGCTGAACGGAATATAAAATTCAATATACGTTCAACTTCGAAATCAGCAAACTGGAATCCGTAAGATTTGATCGTTTACCGACCGAATCGCGACCCTACAGATCATTTTGGAACGATTACCTGAATAGAAATCACCGCCTTTCATCAACTTCCCTGACTTACGAGAAAGGATTTGGCAGGGTAGACAAGATAACAATCTGAAAGCTTCTTCGAAAATAGGATGTGGAATTCTTCATTTATAAGAGTTGTGACATACTTCGGAAGTCACAAGGCCGATGTCCCTTCTGACAACCAGAGCCCTCCACGGTGTAATCAGCCGCCCTCATAACCGTAAAAGCACACGAGATAAAATCAGTCACAACCAAATCTCCTATACACCTCCTAATAATTCTCTTATCTCCATGACCAACCCTACTTTTTTTCCTTTGTCACCTAGCACCTCTGAAGCAAACGTTTCGAGCTCATGAAATGTTATAACTGGTCTCCTGAAACCCAGCTCTAAACTACATATTGGAGCTATTATTGTTCATCTGGGTTTTCGGGAATCGACCTTCCACCAGGAGACTCGCCTGTTTACTTAAAATATGCCGATGGCATATTTCTACTTGGTGAAAACGCTGACAGAGTGAGGAGTCTTCTGACCACTTCAGGCAACAATACAAGCATGTTTGGTAAGCGGTTCTACCCCTCGAAATGAAAAATGTTGCTTCAGGATTGACTTGTGTTGGCACCTGAACTAGTGATAGGGAGTGAAGTAGTTGAGCGTGTCGACTGCTTCACTTATCTTAAGAGTCTCATCAGTGCCGATAGTCTGGTGTGTGACGAAATCTCAGCATGGATACAGGAGGCTCGACTGGTTTTGCCAACTGGTGTCACTTATGACGAGATGATAGTACCGATGGTTAGAGACCTTGAACAACATGGCTCAAAACCGTTTGCAACGGTGCAGGTGGATTCATTGTTTGTGTTCTCTCGAATCCTAAACTCGGATTTCCTCATTACCTTTATCTCCTTGTTTCTAATTTTCTTTCACTAGATTATACTTCTTGGATAATATCGTCGAACCCTAATCTCTCTGATTACTGCTAATACTTCTACTGACGTACGTACGAAGTTCTACGTTGTAACTCACTGATTGACTGACTTTGTAACAGTTGTTTCAGTCTTTTCATTAATATTTAGGACTGCAAATTATCAGTCTTTCTGGTATATGTCAATCCTATAAAAATTGCCTAGATATTGCATTTGGGTTATGAATGAATTATCTATCTCTATGTTTGAAAGTGCACTGGAGTACATTCGAAGTTAAAAAGTGGGCACGACAAATACAGACTATCAAGTCTACGAATGAGGATTTGTGTAAAACAAAATTATTTAGAATGATGAAAATTCCTAGACCCAGATTCTTAGTATTGTGCTAGTGATCAAAACACAGATATCCACTTTTTTTCTATAAGACAGAAGTTGATTAGCTTTCGTAAATCTGTGTCTATTAATATGAGACCATAACTACTAACGTATGCGTGCAGATTTACATCACTGTATACTTTTAATTCATTACGAGGCTTCAAGATCTGCATTACATACATAGTTACTAATCGACCCAGATGTAATACCAATCACAATAAATTAGCCAGTAAGTAGTAAACAAATTATATCACTTATTGAAAATATAATATATATATATATATATATATATATATATATATATATATAAACTAAAAAACCTGTTACACACTATTCCAGTATTTCAGCAGTGATCTTGTCTTTCTACTCTTTGAAATCGACTGGTTGTTAGTTGATTTCGGTATAGTATGTTTACTTGTGCGCACAAAAAATGAATCGCTGGCCTAGTAAAAAAAGCCAAGAAGAAAAAAACAACTTATTAAACTACCTATATAGCCTGTGCAATTATTAATAATCTTAATGGCTAACAAATAAAACTTGGACGTAATTTGTGGAGACGGATCTAATTTATAGATTTTGATCGCGACAGAATGATATAAGTTAAGATGCAGATGAGAACCAAGAAGTACTATGAAGCGTTCTAGTCCTAGCAGTAGGTGTTCATGACCCCGCCAGAGATCAAACCCAGGGTCTGGAGTTCTCTTTGATTTCTAATTGCACCGTAACTGAGACCGGTCTTTCACGAATACGACCTACAAATAACGGAAGGTTTGAATACCGGGACTACCTGTTGCATAAAAGGAGATCTAGCAAGATTTATAACTTCGTCTCATTGTCTAAATAACATATGTGTTTTCGCAACCATAGTTACGAGATGCACCAAGTTTTACGGAGTGTTGACGGGGTAACTTTTTAAAAAAAATAAACCTGTGAGATCATTCTCCAGAAACAATTAAGTCAAAAACTTGACAATCAGATCTATAAAATGATGATATTGCAGCATGACGATCTGCAGATCGAAACAAGTAGTTTCCAACAACTAGAAGTTAGGTCCAGTTCTGCTTCACCTAACTCAGTTTAAGCAGTTAAATACTAGTATCACTACCAAACCAATAAACTAAATCGCGAATCCAGGTGTATGAACTAGTATTTGGTAGAAAAAATTTGTTGCTTCTCGCACTCTACTTCTCATCCTCTGAATTCCTTTTTATCTGAATCGACGTGAGAACCTAGAGTGACATAGGTCTGGGCTAGATTTCAAGTTGTCTTTGACATCTTAACTAAAAGCATGATGTATATGAGAATTCAAGCCTCATAATTTAGAAAGGAGCTATGGAGCGAGACAAATATTTTTTTTTCTGTCTGATATTATAATCAGTTTACAAAAGTGTCACAATTTCCAATATCTAGAAATATTTTCAATAACAATGTTGGTTATTGGAAAAAACACTCAGTAGTTCCTCAACTTAGTATGTTTTTACCATGGTTTTTAGCCAAACGGTCAAAACCAACTAGAATTCTGATACGAACATGTGTTGTTAATATTCTCTTTTGATCGTCATTTTCTATCCACAGATGTATCATTAGCAAAAACAGTAGGCTTGAGAAGCGTATGCATAACAAAGATTGTTAAATGTCTGATATTTCTTAAATCGTTTTAGAAGAAACTATAGTTCAATGAACTATACTTGTGTCTTATATGGAATCTACTAAATAATGTTAATGTTGTTATATTTGGATACCTAGACATTCTATACATAGATTTGTATAGTGAGAAAGGATTTTTATTTGAAAGATACAACCATAAACATAAGAGTGGACAGATCAATTAACAAGCATAATAATAATAATGGCAAAGCATTGTTAAGTAATTAAATGAGATTTAGATCTGTGCACTAAAATTCAAACTAATAATACTAGCCAGCTGTCCAAACAGAAATGGGACCCGACTAGGAAACCTATTGGCTGAAAGTCAAACGCGTTTGTTACTGATCAACAGGACCACTACTAATATTCAGTACAGTATGGAGTTCACACCAATATTTAATAACATGCTTTACAATTACAGCTACTTTATTGACAAGAGAAAATTACTAAGTAACTACGTCAAATAATCGCCAAATGACGTCAATGTGTGATTTTTTAACGGTTTTGCAATATATATTATCGTTTTTTGGCAAATATGAAAAAATCATGCATCTTCTGTTTTCTGAGTTACCATTGCTCAACAAATGTGTGATTTTCTATAGGACAAAAGTCTACCAGTCCATCGTTTTATTGTTTTCAAACTATAGATTACAAAGTGAATTGCATTTCCTTTCAATTACAATTTGAACATCTTAATAAACCTGATGTGTTATTTTGTTGCTCCTATGCATGATTGGTGAAAAAATGCTAACAATTAATGACGTTGCTTTCAACATGATGCATGATCAAAGAGTTGCAAGTAGTATGAACAGACAAACAGAATGTCGTATGTAATAAATTCATCAAAACAATCATACCTTCCACCACCTTATATTCAGGTGAGAACAATTCAGTTTAACTGTTAAAAACACAGACTTGTTACCAAAAAAGAGAAAATATATTCTAGTAAACGTAGAAAAAAAAAGACAAATTACTAATATAATTATTTAAAAAGTATACACAGAAAATATGTAAGAAAAAAAGGAAATGACTATATGAGAATTCAACTGAATGCATAAAATCTGTAGCTATCCCGAAGAGTATTAATTGCATGTTATTTCCACAAAAAAATTATATGTACATATAAGAATACCGGTATAAATTGTGCTTAAGTGGAATTAAGGGAATTGATATAACTACTGAATTATTGTTAAAAATGTGTCATCTGCTATGAAATTATTAACTTCGAGATAAGTATGGACACATGTATATTTCTTGTGATAGATTGTTGTTGCACTTGTAGGATAGAATTTTAATGATAACAATGAAACGGATTATCCAACGCCTTGATTAGTTCCATGGGAGTAGTAGGCAGAAGAGCAGTATGATTTAAAGGTGGAACATTTATTGTTGGTAGGCTTAACAAATCGGATGGTTTATTTTGCTTTTTTTTCTGTTAGCAGATTGCTAGGACTAGATTGTATGTAAATACTAATTTTCATATTTAATGACTCCATTGTGTTGTACAGAAGAATACTGATTGTCGTTTACAAAAGGGCTGATTATAATCATAGGTTGGGCAACACGCAGAGGTTTAGTAACTGATGAATTTGCATCAAGATAGTAATCCCTTTGTACAGAATCAATTGGAGTTTCGGTAAATAAGCTCGGTAGTTAACATCCTTGTTATATGACGGATATCTTTCCTGAGAAGTATGAAATGATCCCTCCTCATTATCAACAAGATTAATAGAACTGATAAGCAGATTTCTCGATTGGATAAATTGTGGTTTCCGAATTCGTTTCTAACGGTGTTTTCGCTTTTGTGTTCCGCACTAATAAGTGTAATAAGGAAGATGATTATTGTGCATCTTAGATAAACAAATACATAATTTTGGAAAACATACAAATAATTATACACGGGAATAAATTAATGTGAATAACGAAATGTTTTGTATACGAAAAGATGAGCGACAGTTACTAATCAGCATTTACAAGTTCCTTGTCGTATTTAATGAGAAACATGAGCGTATTATGTAATGTTTGTAGCTTTAAATAATGTACAGAAGCGAAATAACAGTAATAATGCATACCATTCACGGTTATTATTAAAAAAGTATTTGGGGATTCATTTCACAATAATGGGAAAACCTAAGATATAAATCATTGATTAGGATATTCGACATTTTTTGAAGAAGGCCAAAAATACCTTCCCTACGCACATATTTCATTCCTTAGCATCACACGACTATAAAATTTGCATTAATTAACTACATATGGTTTAACATTATTGGTTTGTGTCATAATATCTGAGTTTAATGAAGGTTATTTATAATTCATATAAGTGTGATTTGTTAAAAAGATCTTATGAAATAGTTCTAACTTTAATGGTTATTTGGCCTTTGTAAACAATATGATGAGGAATTTACTACGACACTATGGGTCCGTCACAAGGGTAAAAGACTTATAGACTGGAGGCAGAATGGAGACAACTAAAACGACATTAGGTACATGAAGAGTGAATACTGAATTTTATTTCCGTATGGGTGATATCATGTAGTTTGCCAACAACGATATTCGCTAGTTAAGTTACCGGGATGCACAAATACTGTTATGCCGAAAATTATTATTATTATTGTGTACCTCAGGATTCATGTACAAAATGTGATACTCAACTTGACTCAAATTTACTCAGCTCCTAAAGCAAGTGAGAATGGATTTAACTGAATGTCAGAAGGACAACCATTTATTTCTTTGATTGCCAACTTAACCCCCGCCAACTAACAAACTACATTACCATTTACCTAAGTACTATATTCACCTCTAGAATAAGAAAACGGTCTAAAAGTTGGATCCAGTGTTAGGACGATATGAGTAGAAAACAACTATTTGGGGATTGATTGTCGCATATTTACTAAAGCCCACTAAAAATAAAATCCAATTTCGCGAGAGCTAGAAAGGAGCTTTTATGTGATCAGCCAACTAGCAACATAACTTATTATTATTATAAATTATTGTTCACCTAGAATCGCAAATATATCACGCAGTTGGTTTAAATTTCTGAGTAACCGAGAAAAATTTAAATTATGACAGGATGCTATGCCTCAAAAGACTAAGGAACCACCCCACAAAAACCTAAATTTGTCTGTTTAACTTTACGAATGACAGTAATTGAGGCTAGCCTTATACGATCCATGCATTAGTGATAAGTGTACAATAGTGAGAAAAACAAGGCTATTATAAGGGTTTCCCTGGCTTAACATTATAAATGCAAAAATCTGGAGACCACAAACGCAAGCGTGCTGTGTGAAAAATAACAGTTCCAACTTTGCTGGATAGAAATAGAGAACTATTGGTTTCTTTCGAATTTATGTGGAGTACACATGAACCCCAGTCAAAAAGATCGTAGTTCTAGCTCGGATCCTTAAGAAACCCGAAAACAAAAATTACCTGAATGTAAAAACTTATAGTGGCTTTCCTCACAACTAATACTATCAAAATAGGGACTAGGTTTTCGAAAGAATCAACATGTTTTGTGAGTGGATAACAGCTTTCAGTCACACGACAAAAATATTCGCACATGCTTTCTGTTCCACTATTAGATGATCTATACCTATATTTAGCATAGTACTAAATAGATTTTGAATAGTTTAGACTGGGTCAACAAGAACTTTGTTGTGTTACCTTAAAATAACGTGTGGTTTCGGTTAGCATAATACTTTGCGCACATACGGTGGAAGTTAATATGAGATGATTTTATCAACTTTCACTATCTCGCATTTGCTTGTGCTCAAATGTAACGTCTCGATGATACAATCACTTATCTTATATGTCTAATCATTGAGGAAGTGTTAAGGTCACTGAAAAATCAGAAACAGAAAGAATTAGGTTACTCGACACTTCAGTAACTACTTTGTATTATCTTTAACAAGAATGAGACCGAGGTAATACCCACAGACAGATATAACTTAATAACTGAATAATGCAGGGTCAGATGACTGTTGACAAATGGCTATGGTGCTGGATTATAAGAAAGCAAGCTCCTATAAAATCATGATTCAATGAATGCAACGCCACTTATGCCCATTATGGAAATGCCCAGAATGGAGCACCTGAAGAAGCCATTGGACATGATGAATAGAAAACTAATGAAATACTAGTGCTTAAATTCAGTCCATAATCAAAAGAAAGTCGTAATATCTGAAACGCAGTGACAAAATAGACTGAGAAATGGTCATAATTTTTGCCTACGACATACTCAGAATGACAACGTTGAGCTACTCGTAACTTCAGTCTTTGGTCGGTTTGTGTTTAGCCAAGAAGTACCTTATTTCCTGCGTGGGGTGTGAGGAGCAGCGTGCGGGATTATCTAGAAGAAAGAAAAAGAGAAAATGATGAGCCCGCGACTCAGTAATCACATATAATACACTTACATGCAATAGAGTAATAAATAAACGGCAACCAGAAAACCGGATTGATGTTAGGACAAACTGACTAACGAAACTAGGAGTTGGTAGAGTGTAACTTCAGCCTTTGATTGGTTTGCATTACATGGCTCCCCCTGATAGAAAAGCACTGTCCTCAGTGCTTGCGATACCTGTGTTTCTCTGAAGCTGAGTTACATGATGTGGAATAGCCGCTGTGCTGAGTTATATGGAGTGGGATGGTTTCTGTGTGATGCGCCTGGGTGTGAGCTAACTGAATCCCACCTCCATCACCAAATGTAACTTCAGCCTTTGATTGGTTTGCGTTACAAGAGTAAGGTTTCAAACGCATTGCAAGGTCGCCTTCAATATCTAATATCCAATATCATTATCACGAGCTGGTATAAACCAATTGATTTCTTTGCGCTCGATTCTTGTTCCTTCGGTACGGTTCCAGGTGTTTGGTAGTGTCCAATTAATGAGGGTCTAGCCACTAGACTGTCTAATTCTAGTCAGCTGGCAGTGGTTTGTGAGTTTGTATGTCCCGTGAATTAAATGAATAGGTTTTTTTCAGGGCAGCAGGATTTCTGGATACCAGCGGCTATCACATTACCATGCCGGAGATCAGTTAGTTGCAATATGGAGTGTAGTGGAATACTTTCACGAAGATATACAATTGGTGAAATGGAAATATTTAAACATGTATTTAATCCTAACAATAATTGTTCTGTTGTACTCCTTTTGTTCTTCTGCACTAAAGACTATCTCGCTCGCACCAAGCGTGCCTTTCTCATTCCGCCTCTCTCCTCAGTGGTTGTTAACGGCTTCTTTATTCCGATCTTGATATTATTTTGATATCACGAGGCCTCGGAAAAATATACTTCTTCATTCAAAAAAGTCTTCTCGTTGACTTCTAGATCGATCGGGATTTAACTTAGTAATCTCGCTAAAAAGGAAACATATCACCTCGCTATAGCAGAATAATAGGGACAAAATTTTGAGGCTAATAAGAGTAAGTTTTCAGGACTAAGTTTACCAACTGGTAGTGAAGATTGTGCGAGAGGACGGAACTGTAAGCAAGGGAGAGGAAGCAGAGATAGCAGGCGATATAGATTAAGTTAGTGAACGGCGATGGCAAAAACTTGATAGCCTCATATATCTGGTCAGAGGAATAACGAATAAAGTGGTCCGAAGTTACGTATTTCAAAAAGAATTTTCTTCAGCCATAACGTGATGAGTGCCTTATTAAAGTAACGAAGTTCGCCACATAAAATAGATTTGAATTAACATTTCTCATAAGAATAGATAGATAGTTCTGTTGTGGACCGAAATTGAGGTACCTAAGTAACGATAATGTTAAAAAACAAGTGCTCGTGAAATTCACTGATTGGTATAAAAGGCGATTTATAAAATTTCTCACTTGCTAAGTTATTTACTGAAGCCTTTCACCGTTAATAATGCAGAGGCCGTCGATCTGCATTATCCATCCTATTTTCTCCTGTGCCCTCTCTTCTAGTTCTGTCCAATTATTGTTAATTCTTTCTTTGGTATTTTGATGAGTTATCCTCACTTCCAGTCTGTTGGCATATGTTCATCTAAAATCTGTTTGAAGAGAATGTGGAGTATTTTCGCAGTTGCTGCCACGTCTGCTTTCATTGCCTCTGCTGGAATGTTTTCCGGTCCTGCTGCTTTCCTGGCCTTGATCTGTCTGACGGCCATGACGATTTCTTCAATTGTAGGTGCGCCAACATTGATTGGGAGGTCCGTGGATGCTGCTTCGATGTTGGGTGGGTTCAATGGATCTGGTTGATTCAAGAGTTCCTTAAAGTGCTATACCCACCTATTTCGCTGTTCGTTAATGCTGCCGATTACTTTGCCTTCCTTGCTTTCCACTGGTCGTTCTGGTTTACAATAGTTTCCACCGACCTTCTTTGTAGTTTCGTACAATGGTCTCATGTTTACTTCTCTTGCAGCCTTTTTCGCCTTCATTGCTAGATCATCCACATATTTTCATTTGTCTGTTCTCATGCTCTTCTTTACTTCCCTGTTTGCTTCTGTGTATTCAGCCTGTACCTTGGCTTTTTCTGCTCTCGTTCGGCTGATGTTGATTGCTGCCTTCTTATTGCTCCTTTCTTGAATCGTTTCAAGAGTCCCAATAGAGATCTATTCCTTGTGGTGGTACTTCTTGTGGCCCAAAAACTTATGACACACTGAAAATGATTCATCTTTAAATCCTTTCTAGTTGTTTCCCATGGTAGTTTCATCTTCACTGAGAGGATCGTGAAAGACTTCGAACTTAGTGCTGAGATCTATTTTGGATTCGTTGAGTTTGCCAGTATCCAAAAGAAGCCGTCATTCAAGTTAAATCATAAATTGACCACACTTCGAAGGAAGAATATTAAAAATAATAATTTAGATCATAATAGTTTGGATTAACTTGTTGTTATGATTTCTGACGGAAGTTAAATCAGTCTTAGTTGAAGTAAATACAACCTGTGAGTATTTTCTCAGTGTAGATATGGTCTATGTTGTGTGATCTGGTGAAATCCATGTAGCTTAGTGTATGCATTTGTGTGGGAATATTGTGCCACCTATGACCAGTTTGTTGAACGCACATAGGTTCGCAAATCTGTCAACTCTTTCGTTCCTCTCTCCCAGTTCATGTTGTCCCATGATGTTTTCATATCCAATTTTTTCCGTTCTAACTGCGGCATTTATGTCTTCAACCAGAATGGTCAAATCCTTTGATGAGCATCTCTGCTTAATCGACTGCAGCCTCCTTGTTATCGTAGGTAATACCCTTTTTTGTTTTGAAGGATGCTCTAATGATCCTGAGTCCATGAGATTCCAATGGTATCAGTGCGTTTTGTGCTTGTTTGGATAGCATCAGTGCAACTGGTTTTGTATGTGAGGCGTTTTCTTCTTCGTGACCGGAGTATAACAGCAACTCTCCTGAAGTTTTTCTTTGATGTTCAACCTGCGTCTAATATGATTCACTAATTCCAGGTACCACCGTGTTGTATATTTTCATTTCTGCAGCAAATGTGATGACTCTTCTGGTGTCCCGTCTCTCGCGACCATTCTGTGTAACTAAATTAATGGTTTCAATGGTTGTTAGAATGACCATCAGCCTCGTAAAGTCCAAAGGTAGTCGGATCTCTTTAGGAAAATTCGTGACTCTTCTGAATAAAGATCCTGTAGTCCCCGGGATAGAGTTTAAATGATTCAAATTCAGTATATAAAAAGTTCAGTTCAATGAACTTTGCTTTCGGAGACAGAATGAAGAATATACGCGCCTTGTCCAGTCCGAATTCAGAATATAAAATCTGGGTAAGAACGGTTCTAAACAATATTATACTGTTCCGATCCAAAATTAACACAATACGTTTGCAATTCTGGAAGAATGCATCCTTCCAGTCAAGAATACAAAGTTACCGCAAGGGTATCAAATCCGATATGGCCGTAGCCATATTAAGTATCAATTTAAACAACAAATTTACTGTTCAGAAGGAAACATAAAAATTCAAGTATAGAAAATAGGAAATATAAGCATTAATATCCCAAATTGGGACTAACGGAGTACCAAAATACTGAACAGAAAGAGTTAGCAAGATCATAATCTTAAAATATACATGGAGGGATTTTCCCCAAAACGAAGTCTTCAAAATGGATCCAACATTCAGTTTTCTGTTCGACATTTTTTAGTGAGTAGGTTTTCTGTGTGATAGGGTCCAGAACCACAATTATTATCTTGGCTATGGACAATTTTCCAACGTCATTAATCGTATGACTGGATTGACTTCATGAAGACCATAAACGAAGTTCAAGTAGACCGTTTGCATTGATAGTAAACTGAATTTCCTGTTACAAAAAGGATATGCTTAACATTCCTTTTTATCGTAACAATATAAGTTTGATTGTGCAATTTTTATTAACAAATGAGTTATAACTACATCAAGAAGTACTTTTTTTATGTGATTGGCATGGAAACGCTGATTCCGCCTTCTGGACGAATTCATGGTGTTACGTCTACACGTAAACACGTCAACTTCATGTATCTGAACTATTATGAGTTTATCTAGTCGGAATATGAGAGTGAGTATAGAGGATCCGGCTACTCGACATGCTGCTCAATCCGAATACACCAACCCCCAATGAATAAAAGAAGAAGACATGCTATGAAGTAGAACCTGTGTTCTACAAGCATCCAGAAAGTATGAGGTCCGAATCCAGAAGAGAATCAGGATCCCGAACTAGGGATCCGGGACCGGGTCCTGGTCCTAGAATGTTACAGATTATGCGTGTTTATACATTTAGATCGAATAGGAAACATCATCGAAGTCTGTGATATTGTCAGTTAAGACGACCAATAAGAAACAACATTTGAAGTGACATTGATAATCAGGACAACCAATAAGAAACAACATTAGAGCACGTGACCTTGATATCTTGGACGATCACAAAATTGACCAGTAGAAATCCAAAAATAGGAATTGGTCTATATTTCCCTCAGGATATTGGATGAATATCCTAACACGTGGAAATACATGTCTTGAACTTATCATGTGTATTTGACCTTCGCATCTAAAAATTCTCATTTTCTCATATCAGCGTAAGAAAAAGCCTGTTTATCGTAATGTGATGTTTAACAATGACTGATTAGATAGAATTAACTCAGCAGCTCCTATCTAAGCAGACGACTCGGAGATCTGGAGGTCCATAAGAAGGAAAGAGTATTCAACTGAGCTTCAAAAAGACTTTGCAACAATAAAGGAGTGAGCGGTTGACAACAGATTAAAACTTAACTAGTTGAAATGTCACGTCAAGAGCATTATGCCCCACACGACGCAAAAAATTATGTCAATGATGGAAGTTTGTTTTTATGTCTCCTCAGAGTGCGATCTTGGTCTAGTAACAACAGGGAACCTGAACATAACTTTAAACTACACTGGGAGTACAACCTAAACGAACTAGTCTGTTCACTTTACTCGGAGACAATTTTGTGCGATCACTGCAGAACTGTTACTCATTTATTTCAACACATGGCCACACATTGAGGTTCATGAGATATAAATTTCATGGACCGGATGTAGAGACGAACAGCGATATGGGTGATACCGTTGAATAACAAACCTTTCGAAGACAGACTTCAACACTTGGGCACAATCTCTACGAAGTATGGGAGAATCAGAGGTGGTCTGATCACCAAGTACGCAGAATCCTCCTGACATGACAAGCTTGTCACAGCATCACCATCACGTCACTTTAGGTAACACCGAGATTCCACATGAAATAGTGAACACCCATGTTTGTGCACACTTTTTCTCGTTACGAGAGCTCTCCAAATTGAGGTGACCACAGACCCTTCGTCTGATAGCTTCATATTCGGATTATCATCCCTCTTGAATTAACTGTGTCTGATACATGTCTCGAAACTTGCTACTTGTTATTACCGTCAGTTTCTCATTCTCTAGCTTAATATCTCTGCTTCTTCTCCCTAGCTTACACTTCTGTCCTCGTACAAAGTCTTCACTACCATTTCCTTAACTAGATTCATTATTTACCTAGTTCTGAAATCTTAACACGAATATTAGAATTTTCCCCTCATTATTCTTCACACTGCGACTAAGTGTTGTCTGGCCAGGAATTGCAGTAGCTACTTGTATCCAGACGCTCTACTGCCCTGAGAAAAATGCACTCATCTAAATTATGGAACTCGCAAATTTATATATATTACTACCAAATAATTAGAATTATTGCAATCGAGTGGACAGACTATCATCCACTGGACACTACCGAATACCTGGAACCGCATAGAAAGGACAAGAATTGTGTAGCGAATTGGAAACCTTACCCTAACAGTTTCTAGTTTCGATTATTCATTTCTATTTGCTGTCTATTGGTTTCTCTATATTAATTTTAAGTGCATTCTGCGTTGTTGCTCTCCGTTTTCTCCTATTCTTCCCTCTTCCAGATAACCTCACAAGCTGCCCCACAGATACCTCAAGTGCACAAGGTACCCCTGGCTAGATGCAAACTAACTAAAGGTCAAAGTTAAAATTGAGCTCAAAGAAAATAATCGATTTTTACTAGCTCGTGAAAAAGATATTAAATATTATATACTGGATTTCGGATTATTGGGAATTGATCACCCTTTGTACACACGGCCTTACGTAGTGTGGGAACTTTAAGTCTTCCTAACTCACCATCGAAAATGAATCCAATCGCAACAGCGACTATACCTATTATCCCTCCTGTTGCTACATCTAACTTGCTAGTCGGGCTGCCACATGTAGCAGCTCCTGGAGCCCTGCCTTCCGTAACTCCAGCTGTTGTTATGCCCCAAGCTGTTGCACACATGCCAGAATCTGTTGGACAACCAAATAATACTATATACATAAACAATCTGAATGAGAAGATAAAACGTGATGAATTGAAAAAATCCTTATACGCAGTTTTTGTTCAATTTGGCCAGATACTGGACATTATTACATGTAGGTTGAGTTTGTTCGACCATTTACTATGATCAAACCTCTTAGCCCGTCTTCCTGTCCATAAGAATAAGTTTGTGTTGTTTGGATAATATTTCTATAATATGAACATCTGAAATATGTTCAGTTAGCTATTTTTGTTATGCGCATGGTATAGAAGAACTGTATGATAGAGCTAGCCTGGTTTTGTAGTAACTTAAATTGTTCCGTAGATAGAAACTAGTCTTTACATCTTAAAGCTGTTGAATTCATTTTAGATGGGTTCCCTATAACCTTTTAGCCTCTCCTTACACCAGGTTTTGAACTCCGAAGTCGTACGACTAGTGAAAAAGGCTTCATAAAGACAATATTTCTGTAGATTTCTAAGGAGACCGAGAAAAACATGTGCTTAATCCTGATGCTGTTCCTCACTACATCTCTTGATTCATTGAAATTAAGATGTCTCTACATTGTGACGGCTGTAGTTTATTTATATAGTCTGTTAAGACATATAACTCCAACTATGACTAGTTTAGGTGTTGAAGGGGGTTCCTTGATTACTGATATAGAAACGATGGTATAGTAGTGTTAAGTAGTTTCTTCTGTGTAGTGAATGACTTCATTTTTATTGCATGTTCTTCATAGTTCTACCAAATGGGAATGGCTGGTAAATTTAGGTATCTTTAGGGAGCAATGATTAACAGTTAGTTGATATTTAGATTCAATCTGAGTGATATATGACCTATTTGGTTACATCCGTTGCTAATAGACTTAAGGTTTCTGCACCAGCCTCAGCCGTCTGTTGTGCAAAGCCTAGCAGTGCTATCCTGTTGGTAATGGTTGGGTAGTTGAAATTGAATTGAAAGTTGTTAAAAAGTGGCTGTCGGTTTTTCGCTAAATGTGTTTCTTTTGCTTTTCTCAAACCCTTCTGATGCAGTTATCCACTAAAAGATAGGTTCATGATATTGTTATGGGACATTTTGAATGCATAGCGTAACATCTGCTGCCACTTGGTTTTAGTATCATTGAATCAGGTTTTGATTGCTATAAGTAATGTTAACTTCCCATCTTCAGAAGCTATTTATTGAAAAAATTTACTACAATGATATTCCTTTTCTGTAAGTTATGCACTTAGTCTTTGGAACATACTGGTATAATTACGCTTTTTATATTAAAATAGTTGAGTCTGAAGTATATTGAACGGTCAGTCAGTCAGTAAGTTACAACGTAGAACTTCGTACGTAAGTACATCAGTTCATGTTGCCATACCACATTAGCACCGAGACGCAATCGTCAATTCAAATCCCATAGTGGTAGAGATAGTTGAAGAATTACTGCTAATGCAGATTGGTATTTGAAGATAATATTCAAGTATAATTCAGTGAGATAAGGTTAGAAAGACAAAGGTAGAGGTACTGACGAATCCATAAGATTAGGATTTGAGAGAGCTCAACGAATGGATGCGCTTGCGCCATTGCAAACGATTTTGAGCCATGTCGTTCAAGGTCTCTAATCATTGGTGACTTTCGTCTCGCGGACCCCAACCAGGTAGTCTACATCTACCAACATGACTCAGTCCAATTGTCAATGACTTCATGGATTTGTGCCATGTTTTGGTCTGGCGCCCCTAACTTTCTTCCAGCCTACTCTTAAACCACAAAACATCACTCGTCGAGGCAGTCGACGCTTGGGCATTCTTAACACATGTCCCAACCACCTCAACTGATGAAGTTTCCCCACTTCATCTATTGATCTGACATTCTTACCTATCACTTGTTTCCTAACAACAGCATTGCTCACTCGGTTGTCCCACGGTATACGAGCAATGCTTCGGAGATACCGATGATCGAAGACTAGTAACCTACGAAAGTCCTCTATTCTTAACGGCCATGTTTCGCATCCGTATAGTAGGACGGAGCGAACTGCTGAACAGTACACTCGTCCTTTGGTTAGCAAGCGGATATCTATCCTGCGCCATAACTGACACAAGTTGGCAAAAGCTAATCGAGCCTTCTGTATCCGTGCTGAGATGTCGTCAGTCACCAGACCATCAGCACTGATGAGACTTCCCAGATATATGAAGCGGTTTACATGTTCGACTACTTCACTCCCTATCACTAGTTCAGGTGCCGATGCGACCCAATCTTGAAACAACGTTTCGCATGTCAAGGGGGAAAACCGCATCCCGAACATGCTTGCATTGCTGCTAAGGGTAGTCAGAAGACTGCAATTTGACAGCGTCTTCACCAAAAAGAACTGTCATCGGCATATTCTAAGTTAGCAAGCGATTTTCCTGGTAGAAGGTCTACTGAACACACCCAACATCGAAGCAGCATCCAAGGACCTCCCAATTAATATTGGCGCACCTACGATTGAGGAGATCAGTATGGCCATCAGACAAATCAAGAGCGGCAAATCAGCAGGACCAGACAACATTCCAGCAGGGGCAATAAAAGCAGATGTAGAAGCAACTGCAAAAGTATTTCGCATCCTCTTCAAGGAGATTTGGGATGAGGAACAAGTACCATCAGATTGGAAAGAAGGATACCTGATCAAAATACCAAAGAAAGGCGATCTCAGCAAGTGTGAGAACTACAGAGGCATCACTCTTCTTTCAATACTAGGCAAAGTCTTCAACAGGGTATTGTTAAACAGAATAAAGGACTTCGTAGACGCCCAACTTCGAGATCAACAGGCTGGATTTCGTAAGGATCGATCGTGTACTGACCAAATCGCTGCATTACGGATCATTGTGGATCAATCAATTGAATGGAACTCACCACTCTACATCGACTACGAGAAAGCATTCGATAGCGTGGATAGGAAAACACTGTGGCGGCTTCTTCGACACTACGGTGTGCCTGAGAAAATAGTTAACATCATACGGAATTCTTATGATGGAATCAAACTACAAAATCGTACACGAAGGACAGCTAACAGACTCTTTCGAGGTGAAGACCGGTGTCAGGCAAGGTTGCTTACTCTCACCCTTTCTCTTTTTTCCTGGTGATCGAGGTCTTAACGTAAATAAAGGAAAAAGCAAAATCCTCCGATGCAACACAACATGCACCAACCAAATCACTCTTGATGGAGATGCCTTGGAGGACATTAACACCTTTACATATCTTGGCAGCATCATCGACAACCAAGGTGAATCCGATGCAGATGTGAGGGCGCGGATCGGAAAAGCAAGGGCTGCATTTCTACAGTTGAAAAATATATGGAACTCAACACCAAAATCAGGATTTTCAATACAAATGTCAAGACAGTTCTACTGTATAGAGCGGAAACTTGGAGAACTACGAACGCAATCATCCAGAAGATATAAGTGTTTATTAATAGTTGTCTACACGAAATACTTCGGATTCGTTGGCCAGACACCATCAGCAACAACGTACTGTGGGAGAGAAGAAACCAGATTCCGGTGGAGGAGAAAATAAGGAAGAAGCGGTGGAAGTGGATAGGACACACTACGAAAAGCACCTAACTGCGTCACGAGACAAGCCCTCACATGGAACCCTCAAGGCAAAAGGAAAAGAGGAAGGCCAAGGAACACATTACGCCGAGAAATAGAGAAAGATATGATAGGAATGAACGAACATTGGACAGAACTGGAGAGGGAAGCCCAGGATAGAGTTGGTTGGAGAAAACTGGTGAGCGGCTTATGCTCCATTGGGGGTAACAGGCGTAAGTAAGTAAGTAAGTAAGTCTATGACAGAAATGAACAAGAATTGGGAAAGTAAACATCCCTGATGGACACCATTTGAAGTAAAGAACTCCGATGACAGTTCGCCATATGCCGTCACCCGATCAGTAGCGTTCGTGTACAGAGCTTGTATAAGGTTAATGTACTTCTTTTGTTTACCTTTTAATGACAGGGACTGCCACAGAACCTCACGATCCACTTAGTCAAATGCCGCCTCAAGGCCCAAGAAGACAACTATTGTAGGACGCCTAAATGTGCATCTGTGTCCCAGGACGTGTCGTAGTGTGAAGATGTGGTCTATACAGCCACGTCCAGGTCTGAAACCAGCCTGGTTTTCTCTAGTCTGCTCTTCACGAGCTCTAGTTAGGCGTCTAAGGATAACTGAGGCTAACAATTTAGAAACTATATTAGTTAGACTGATTCCCCTGTGATTGTCACAAGATGACTTGTCTTTTCTTATGAATTGGGACAATCCTGGATTAAGACCAGTCAGATGGGATTGAGTCCAGTTCCCAGATTCTACCTAACATCTCAGTCAATCTAGCTGCTAAAACTAGACCACTATCCTTAAAAATCTCAAGAGCCAGTCTATCAGGACCTGCTGCTCGCCCTCGCTTCAGATTTCCTATGGCTTTCTCAACTTCATAAAAAGTCGGAGAACTTACGTCGGTTTCCCATTTAGGACAACTGGAGATCGTGGGTAACCGAAGTGTGGCTGAAGGCCAGTTGAACTAATCCCTTAAGTGTTCTGCCCATCGGTCCGGTGTCCTGGATTGAGAATGGATAATAAGACCATCCTTTTCCGAGATAGTCTCACTCACATTTGGGTTCCTAATACCAGTTTCCTTGATGAGTCTGAATAGTTGCCTACTGTTGCCTATCGCCGCTGCCTTTTCCATCGTTTTCGCTTTCTCCACACATCACTGTTCGCGGTCGTTTTGTAGGCTTTTTATCAGCCTGCGCCTAAGCTGACTTCGCTCTTCGTCATGTTCAGAGCCAGGTGGGATAAGTTTTCGAGCATCCATCAGTTCGGTGGATGCTACTGAGATCCACGGCTTCTTCCTAGCTATATGGTTTACCTTACTAGCAGATATCTTTGCTGTTTCCAGAGCTTTTTTGATACCATTCCAAGCTGCCTCCAGATGGAGATCACTTACTTGGTCGCCTAATTTTTTTTTTAGTTGTTCGTTAAATATATTCATACCTCTGCTATCATTAGGTAGAACCATAAGAGGTTCCCTTGCGGTGTCTTTCCTACGTCCGGTAAGTCGCAAACAAATACGCACTAGGGTATGATCTGAATCTAAACACGTGCCCCAGAACGAGCGACAGTCCTCTATCGAAACCCTCCATCAGTGGCTGATGGCAATGTGATCTTGTTGGGTCCAGAGTTGGGACGACTTTGGTGGTCGCCAGGTCAAAAGATGATTTTTCCTTATGCCTCAAGTTAGTGTTTGTTAGGATTAGGCGGTTATCTGAGCATACTTGCAGCAGACGGTCGCCATTGTCTGTTTGATCAGCCGCGACACCATAAGGTCTACCAAAGTGTCTTTCCTTTTCACTTAGTCTACCTACTTGAGCATTGAAGTCACCAGCCATTATTACTATATCAGAGTGCTTAACTTTTTGAAGAAGAATTGAAAGGTTTCTGTAAAACTCATCTTTTACATCGTCTGAACTGCAGTCAGTGGGAGCGTTGGCAGAGAAAACAAAGAGGCAGCGGCGAGTTTCCTTATCTTTCTGTGTCCTTACTGTCCTGTTTAGTTGGACAGCGCATAAGTGATTATCTACTGGGATCCAGTCTAGGCTAGTTCTACCGTGGGACTTAATACTATACCTACACTAGCAATGCCACGGGAAGCAGCAGCAGGGCTTCTAGATGCGCGAAGCGTAAACCGAGTTGATTCTCCATCTACACAAGGTGAAATCAAGTCGATGACTTTACTCGGATCTTGTATGCGCGTTTCGGAGACGCAACACAGTATTCCAAAGTCCTAGCTAGTGAAGCCTGCTGCCCTATTTGACACATTGTCCTTACATTAAATGCTCCAACATGTAGTTTAGAGCTGGGTTTCAGGAGACAAGTAATAACGTTTCATGAGCTCGAATCGTTTGCAGCAGAGGTGCGGGATTGATACAGGAATATGTTAAGAGTTAGTCGTTAAGATAAGGGGGATGTTACGGGGTGTAGGAAGGATTTGACTGTGACCAATTTGGCCTCGTATGCTTTTATAGGTATGAGGGTGGATGTCACTCCCAGCTGCCCAAACCGTGAAACGGTGTTTCTTGAAGAACCTGAAAGGAAGGTAGATTAGTGTCGGTCTTAGAGATCTGGGAGCGTGACAGCAGAGCCCAAGGGACAACTGCTTAAGGTCTGTCACGCACGGCCTTTTTATGGGAGGTTTTTTGAGTATTGAAAGCCCTTAGTTGGCAATCTTACCGACGGAGACGTAAATTCGTCAGGTAGGATGGAGTGTGACACGAGAAGGCAGCATCGCTGCAGATACTGGTCGTCCGAGGGAAACACTTGACTGCTATTACACCCCTCTACAGTCAGCAGTTCGATTTCACTCTCGGACCTTGTGTAGCTGCTTTTAGTCTCATCGTTCTCCAATCGACCTCCCTGGCATGGTAGAACCTTGAGGAACATATGTTCCAGCCAATATGGCTCGTTTGGGCAATCACGATAGGCAAGTCCGACCACTACGTCAAGGTAGCAGCTATGGACGCTGATTCGCAAAATGACGAAAACGATTTGCTAAACATGTACAAAAATATGTATCTTACAATTTAACAGGCACCTCCGTACCAAGCTAACAGTTGATCATCACGATTCACTGGCAGTCAGAAATTTTCTACGTGACTAAAATATCCTTGGAGTTATTCATTACCAAAATGATGCTTAAATAAAGTGATAAACTGAGTTAACACTTATTTTGGTAACTCGAATATTCCCATACGGACATTAGTTGGCATCATATCTTACATAGTTTCATTTTGTTTTACCAGCACTTGACAACACCGGTGGTGTGCAAGTTATTTTATTCTTTATCTGAAATACTGAACAAAATCTTTTGATTTTCTTCTGAACATCGTATCATATTAGACCTAATCGGTGTTTTTCTAGCTTTGTGCGAGTTTCTTATATCATATTGTTTTTCAGGGTTCTAAGCTATTCTCCGTCTGTTTGTTTCTGTGAAAACGTTTAATGTATATCGTTTCGTACTTACATACAGTTCAGTTGTAGATATAATGTATGACACGTAATGTATGTTATCTTCGCCTATATTTCCACAAATTTTTACTACTGTTCTGATTGATTCTAAGTCATTATGATTTTTTTATTCCCTTCCTAGCACGAACACTAAAAATGCGCGGTCAGGCCTTTGTTGTCTTTGATGATATCAATAGTGCATCCACAGCGCTTCGGGCAATGCAAGGTTTCCCATTATATGAAAAACCCATGCGAATACACTTTGCCAAGGTTGATTCAGACGTCATTGCTAAACGCAAGGGTACTTTTGTACAACGACCGAAAGCTGCATCAAGAGCAGCGGCGGCGGCAGCAGCGGCTGCAGCCGCTGAAGCGGCAGCTTCTGCTGCGGCAATTAACTCAGCTGGTCCACAAGGGGGTACTAGTGCAAGAGCTATTCGTAGAAGACAACAAAGAGCTGCCGCAGCTGCTGCCGCCGCCGCTGCAGCTTCGGTCTCAGCTGGCAATGATACTGCCAACGAAGTGAATTCTAATGGTGTCGATCAAACTAGTAGTTATCGTCCCCCTCCACCACCACCGGCTGTGAATCCAGCTACTATCCCAGACCAACCACCCAATAAGATCTTATTCTTAACCAACTTACCAGATGATTCTGATGAAGCAATGCTTAGCATGCTTTTTGGACAGTTCACTGGTTATCGAGAAGTTCGCATGGTTCCAGGAAGACACGATATTGCTTTTGTCGAGTTCGTTAATGAAGTAGAGGCATCAGCTGCAAAACTTGGCCTTCAAGGTTTTAATATTCGACCCGGTCAAGCTATACGTATTACTTTTGCTAAGAAATAAGAGGATTTTGAAAAAAAAACTAGTCCATTCATTTTAACTATGAATTTCTTCGATCTTTTTACTTCATATATGTACATTTTCAAAATTATTAATAAAACTGAAATTCTATTTGGTGTTTATGAGTTTTCTTTCTCATATCCATAATTAACATTATGTGATTGTTGTTTTGGTTTTTTAATTGGTTGTGTATCTGTATGGACTTTGGCTTGTGATTCGTTTTGCGTGAATAGACTATATCAAACAAACCTCTGTGTATAACATAAGTTCTGATTTACTAAACGCTATACGAGTAAATGATCTTGGCATTAATCTTCATTACCTGTACAAATCAATCCATATGTTATAACTAATGCTGTATTTAGTCCCTCGTACTGATTACTTATCAATGATTTAAAAGTAGCAAAATGGTTTAACGTCGTACTCTGTGTGTTTTAAGAGCATTTAGGTCATTAAAAAAATATTACTTTAGTGACATTTAGTTTAGTATTTCGCTCATGTAATTCATTCCCCATAACGTCAACCCAATGTTCAGTTGGATTGTCTGCATACATTACTGAACTATATTCATTTAAATCCAACAGCTGACGTAACTACTTGCAACTACAATATCATTTTTGTGCGTATGTGACATCCCGAGTCGTGCATAATGTTTATTGGCTGAAAGTAATCTACAGGAATTACCGGACCTATATTCAATACTATCTGACATAGGGTATCCCCAGTCCTAAGGGAACTTATTTTCATGTCATAATCTAAAAGAGTGAGTTAATCCTAATTAAAAAGTTAATTAGTTTCCTTAGCATCCAAGATAAAACTTACTGAAGTACGTTAACTGGCTTAGAATCTAAATCTATCACTTCTCACCATTAGTCTCCAATATCAAAATAAATTTCATTATTAAGTCGACTAATTCTGACTAGAATCAACACCGGAACCTGATCGAAAAAATCGATTAAGCAGCCACGACTAGACAACATGACATTTTTTCTTACTTCTAAGTAATTAATTAATCTAATCTGTGTACACCCGTTCGTTATTTAATGAGTACAATTTAATTGAGTTACAATTACTCCGAAGAAACGTTGAACTAATCTCAAGTTTATTCTTCTAACTAAAACTTGTATGTTGAAGCGATGGCTCACTAGTTAGAGCGTTTGACTTTCAGTCATTCACGGGTTCAAATCCTATTCTATTTACTTCGGTTTATGAAGCCGAGTAGTATCACTAGCCATGATTGAATCTGCACTTGGATTATGAGTTAATAGTAATGATATATATAAATTTTCTTAAGTTATTTTGTTTATTTATTTGCGTGGATTAGAGTTTATGGTAGCTTGATTTGCACACCTTGTACAATGGAATTAGCATTCTTGTAGACTAACTATGATTGATTGATGATTTCAAATAAATGCAATAGTTATTTATATGTACATCTTTAATACACTTGCATATGGATAGGAACTCACGTGTTCTTAAAGTGTTTTGCTTATTTTAAGAAAATAATCTCGTCATAGCACATAAAGCAGATTCATTAAAGTATAAAAAATTGCAACTTTGCAATTGAGGATTCCAATCAAACAAAATATCTATGGAGATTACTTTAATTTCATCCCTAGTCTGAGAGATAGTACGGATATATATATTTAATAATGTATAATTTATTTCATAGTTCACATCACTGACTGATCCTAGTTAGACAGTTATTACAATCAGGAAACACTGGACAACTATTTCGTCTTCGCACACCAATCCTCATTCAGTTCGTGATGTAAACTTTGAAGCTTGAGAAATCTCTTATACCGATAATATGTAATTTAATTTTCATTATATATATATATATATATATATATATATATATATATATATATATATATATATATATATATATATATATATATATATATATATATATATATCATACCATTTTAATTCATTTATAATATCGTTTTTCTATTTTCAAACATGTGCGGTGTGTGTATGCGTGTGTACTCGGATTTGATAAATATCAGTTCCATAAATGGATATTCGACCAAATCATACATTATATGTGAATAATTTAAATGATAAAGTGAAGAAAAATGACTTGAAGAAAGCTTTATATTATATATTTGGTCAACATGGTCGACTGATTGATATTATAGCTATGAAAACAATGAAGATGCGTGGACAAGCATTTATTATTTATCAAGATATTGCTTGTGCAACGCAAGCTTACCGTTCATTACAAGGATTTCAGTTATTTCAACGAGTAAGTTTACTTCGTTTAGTCTCATTGCATGCATATATTTTACGTATGTAGTGTTATGATCGGCTCTGATACTCCTCTTTATTTGCTTGTTTGCTTCTGTGAATTCAGCCTGTGCCTTGGCTTTTTCTGCTCTTGTTCGACTGATGTTGATTGCTGCCTTCTTATTGTTCCGTTCTTGAATTGTTTCAAGAGTTCCAACAGAGATCCATTCCTTGTGATGGTTCCTGCTTGATCCCTTTCTATTTGTTCTCCATGGTAGTTTACTCTTAACTGATTAGATCGTGCAAGGTCTAGAACCTATCTTGGATTCAATTTGTTTGTCAGCATCCCGAAGGAAAGCCGTATTAAACTTTTGTGACGTCTGCCCCGTTATCCAGTGCTTCTTGGGTTTCAGTTTCGTCTTGGCCACCAACAATTGATGATCTGAGGCTGTATCAACCTCTCTCTTGGTTCTCACGTCCTTCCGAACTTTTTTATTGATACAGATATGATCGATTTGGTTCCGAGTAGTGTGATCTGGTGAAACCCATGTAGCTTTGTGTATGCGTTTGTGTGGGAATATTGTACCACCAGTGACCAGTTTGTTGAAGACAAACCTCTCACTATTTTTGTTCCTTTCTCCCAGTTCATGTCGTCCCATAATGTCTTCATATCCGATGTTGTCCATTCCAGCCGTGGCACAGAATGATCAAGGCCTATACTGATAATTTCTTGACGATTGACTGCAATCTCTCGTATAATTGATCTTTAACGTCTTCATTATTATTGTTAGTTACCATTCATCTCTGTCCATGATGTTTTATAATTTTTTTAATCCTGTTCTGTTCATACATTTTTCTTAGCCTATGCGGGTAACTTATGCCAAAAAAGATTCACAGCAAATTATCTCTTTGAAAGGTGTCAGTGCCGAAGTACAAAAGAGACGTGAAGAAGAACGTGAGAAACGTAAACGAAAGAAAATGGCACAGCGCGCTGCAGCAGCAGCAGCCGCTTTACAAGCAGCTAATCAATCAGTAAATGGTCCAGTATGTCCGATTATTATTATCCTAATTCTATCATAACTGCGACTTGACTAATGTGTTATCTATTTTTGGTATTGTTAAATCCTCTGAACTACTAGTTGGTTCTATTCGCAGGGCCTTTATTTTCATTCTGGACAAACCGTCATCGCCCTACTTCGTGTATGAAAGTGAACTGAATGCTTCTACAAGTGGTAACTTAATCACAGTGAGATAAAACTGTTTGAGGAGAAATCCCAGAGTAGTAGGAATAGTAACCACATCAGTTGTATTAGAAAAAATCAAGTGTGGAAGTACGAAGTATGAAGAGATTTTATTGGTTGATTTACACTTGCCATTATACTAAAACTACACTAGGACATGCTATTCAAACTGAGTTAATCAGACTCGTTCTCTTCTCCTAGTCGAAATAACAGTCTCACTTCGTTGTAATAAGTAGCAAGCAGAACCCATTTCACAGTCGAAGTAAACAGTCGCACTAATAGTAGCTATCACGACTTCGTCCAAGTCACAACACTAAAATATCACTTTTGTTTGAAGTCATTACAGGATGTGATTAAAATTTCTAATCTATCAGTTATTCAGTCAGTCAGTTGCAACGTAGGACTTCGTACGTATGTACAGAAGTTCATGTTGCCATACCACATTAGCACAGAGATGCAAATGTCAAATCAAATCCCATAGTGATAGAGATAGTGGAGGTATTAATGGTAATGAAGAAGACTAGGGTTTGAAGATATTATTTAAGAAGTATAGTTAAGTGAGATAAGGTTAGAAAGACAAAGGCAGAGGTGCTGACGAGCGATCCTGTATGCGCGTTTCCGAGACGCAGCATACATCGATGGCGCGAGACTCTAAAGTCCTAGCTAAGGAAGCCTGTTGCCCTATATGACACAATGTCCGTACATTAAATGCCCCAACATGTAGTCTAGAACGGGGTTTCAGGAGACCAGAAATGACGTTTCGTGAACTCGCTTCGCTTGCATTAGCTGTGCAGTGTGATAAAGGAATGTGAGAAGAGTTAGTCGTGGAGATAAGAGAGATATTACGGGGTGTAGGAAGGATTTGATTTCGACCAATTTGGTCTCTTGTGCTGGTACGGGTATGAGGGCGGTTGTTACTTCCCGGCTGCCCACACCGTGGAAGGTTGTTTCTTGAGGGACCTGAAAAGGAAGGTAGATTAGCGTTGGTCTTAACGACCTGGAAGCGTGACCGCAGAGTCCAAGGGACAACTGCTTGAGGCCGGTCACGCACGGCCTTTTTATGAAGTGTTTTTTGAGAATTAGCTCCGCTCTTGAAAGCCCTTAGTGGGCACCCTTACCAACGGAGACGGAAATCCGTAAAGTAGGGTGAGGTGTGACATATTTAGGGTCGACCTTTTCTAACCCTTCCTTCCTTCAGAAACATTATTTCCAGCCAGTATAGCTAGGTTGGGTCATCACTATAGGCAAGTCCGATCACCACGTCAAGGTAGCAGCTTCGGTCGGAAATCTATCAGTTATTAATAATCGTTGCGTACTCAAACATTGAATTGACACAAATTCATTCGAGTATTTCTTTTTGTTTAACTTTAAGTATCGTATCTCCTACGTCTGAATATTTCCATTCCTCAACGTTCTAATTCTAGTTCCTTATTTGATAATTATTTCCTGCTGTATATTTGAGGATTCTGACCTCTAATCGTGATCAGTTACTATGCAAATGTCTTGGAATTTCTAAATAACTAAGTCTTTGGTCAACTTGGTTTTCTGCTATTATTGATTTAATAATTCAATTGGCATAAAATCTGGTGCAACTGGACACCGCAAATAGTGTTGCACAGAGTTTTTATGTGTGGCTTGAGATATCTCTCTTGTTACCAAACGAAAGCAGGTGGATTTCTTTGCTCCTGCCTCATCGACCTATTGACCACCCGACCGTAGCTGCTACCTTGACGTGGTGGTCGGGCTTGCCTATCGTGATGACCCAACCGAGCTATACTGGCTGGAACATATGTTCCTGCAGGTCCTACCATGCCAGGCTGGTCGATTGGAGAACTATGAGACTAAAAGCAGCTACCCAAGGTCTGAGGGCGAAGTCGTAGTAAAGTCATTAACCTGATTCCGCCTTGTCAAAACGAAGAAGCAGCCCGATTCACTCTTCGTGTATCCGGTAGCCCTGATGCTGCTTCCAGGGGTCTTGCTGGCGTAGGCATAGCGTTGAGTCCTAGGGCAGAATTATCTCTCCTAGACTGGATCCCAGTAGATAGTCGTTTGTGCGCTGTCCGACTAAACGGGACAGTAAGGACTCGTAAGGATAGGGACACTCGCCGTTGCCTCTTCGTCATATCTGCCTATGCCCCCACTGACTGCAGTGCAGACGAGGTTAAAGATGAGTTTCAAAGAAAGCTTTCGGACCTCCTCCAAAAAGCTAGGCGCTCTGGTATAGTAATAATGGCTGGTGACTTTAATGCTCAAGTAGGTAGACTAGGTGAAAAGGAAAGACACCTAGGTGGATGTTATGGTGTAGCGACTGAGAGAACAGACAATGGCGACCGTCTGTTGCAACTATGCTCAGATAACCGCCTATTCTTAGCGAACACCAACTTTAGGCATAAGGAAAAGCATCTGTTGACCTGGCGACCCCCGAAGTCGTCTCAACGTTGGACTCAACTAGATCACATCGCCATCAGCCACCGATGGAGGGGTTCGATAGAGGACTGTCGCTCGTTCTGGGGCACATGTTTGGATTCAGATCATGCTCTAGTGCGAGCTCGTATCTGTTTGAGGCTTACTGGACGTAGGAAAGACACCGTAAAGAAGCCTCTTAGGGTTTTACTTAATGATAATCAAACTAAGAAAATATTTCAGGAGCAACTAGAAAGAGAGTTAAGCAACGATGTAAGTGATTCCCATCCAGAAGCAGGTTGGTATGAAATCAAAAAGGCTGTGGAAACAGCAGTGATATCTGCTAGTAAGGTAAACCATAAGGCTAGGATGAAGCCGTGGATATCAGTCGCATCCACCGAACTGATGGATGCTCGAAAACTCATCCCACCTGACTCTGAGCATGATGAAGAGCGTAGTCAGCTTAGGCGCAGACTTATAAAGAGTCTACGTAACGACCGCGAACAGTGGTGGGTGGCGAAAGCAAAACCGATGGAAAAGGCAGCGGCGATAGGCAACAGTAGACAACTTTTCCGCCTTATTAAAGAAACTGGTATTAAGAACCCGAATGTGAGTGACACTATCTCGGAAAAGGATGGTCTTATTATCCATTCTCAATCTAGGAGACTGGATCGATGGGCAGAACACTTTAGGGATCAGTTCAACTGGCCACGAGCCACTCTTCGGTTACCCACGATCTCCAGTCATCCTGAATGGCAAATCGAGCTAAGTTCCCCTAGTCTTAATGACTTTGAGAAAGCCGTAGGAAATCTGAAACGAGGACGAGCAGCAGGTCCTGATAGACTGACCCCTGAGATATTTAAGGATGGTGGTCCAGTTTTATCTGCTAGGTTGACTGAGATGTTAGGTAGAATCTGGGAACTGGACGTAATCCCATCCGACTGGTCTCAATCACTGATTGTCCCAATCTATAAGAAAGGACAAAAGTCTTGTAACAATCACAGGGGAATAAGTCTAACTAATATAGTTTCTAAAATATTGGCCTCAATAATACTTCGACGCTTAACGAAAGCTCGTGAAGAGCAGACTCGAGAAAACCAGGCTGATTTTCGAGCTAGACGTGGTTGTATAGACCACATCTTCACACTACGACAGGTCCTGGAACATAGACACACATTTAGGCTTCCTACAATAGTTGTTTTCCTGGACCTTAAGGCGGCATTTGACTCAGTGGATCGTGAGGTTCTGTGGCAGTGTCTGTCATTGAAAGGTGTACCACTGAAGTACATTAACCTTATACAAGCCCTTTACTCGTACACCACTGGTCGAGTGAGGGCTTATGGCGAACTGTCATCGGAATTCTCTACATCAAGTGGTGTCCGTCAGGGATGTCCACTCTCTCCATTCTTGTATAATTTTATCATAGACATGCTCCTAGAAATAACCTTATCCTCGTCTGAATTTTCAGGAGTAGACCTCTTACCAGGTGGCTCGCTTATTGACTTAGAATATGCCGATGACATTGTCCTATTTGGTGAAGATGCTGACAAAATGCAGCGTCTTCTGAGCACCCTAAGCAACAATGAAAGCATGTTCAGGATGCGGTTTTCCCCCTCGAAATGCAAAATGTTGCTTCAAGATTGGGTTTCATCGGCACCTGAACTAGTGATAGGGAGTGAAGTAGTCGAGCGTGTAGACCGCTTTACTTATCTTGAGAGTCTCATCGGTGCCGACGGCCTGGTGACTGACGAAATCCCAGCTCGGATACAGAAGGCTCGATTGGCTTTTGCCAACCTGCGTCACTTATGGCGTAGGCGAGATATCCGTTTGCTGACTAAAGGACGGGTGTACTGTGCAGCAGTTCGCTCCGTTCTCCTATATGGCTGTGAAACATGGCCAGTGAGAGTAGAAGATATTCGTAGGTTACTGGTTTTCGATCATAGGTGTCTTCGAAGCATTGCTCGTATACCGTGGGACAACCGAGTGAGCAATGCTGTCGTTAGGAAACGAGTACTAGGCAAGGATGGCAGATCAATCGATGAAGTGGTGAAACTTCATCAGTTGAGGTGGTTGGGACATGTGTTGCGTATGCTGAACCACCGACTGCCTCGACGAACTTTGTTTTGTAGTGTAGGAGTAGGTTGGAAGAAAGTTAAGGGCGACCGAACCAAAACATGGCAGAAATGCATGAAGTCATTGACTAGTGGACTGAGCCATGTCGGTAATTGTCGACTAGCTGGTTGGGGTCCGCGAGATGATAATAATCGATGGTTAGAGACCTTGAATGACATGTCTCAAAATCGTTCGCGATGGCGCCGGTGCATTTATTCTTTGTGTTCTCTCAAACCCTAATCTTCTGGACTCTTCAACACCTCTAGTTTCGACTCTCTAAACTTTTCTCACTGAATCATACTTCTTGAATAGTATCTCTTAACCCTAACCCCTCCGATTACTTCTAGTTCCCTTACTACCTCTTCTACTAATGGATTTGAATTGACAATTATATCTCTGTGCTGATGTGGTATTGCAACATGAACTGATGTACTTACGTACGAAGTTCTATGTTGCATCTGACTGACTGACTGACCTATTGACCATGAGGTCTAGTCCACAGGGTGGTAGCACAACGTCATGGGATGCATTTCCATGATGGTCGCCGACCGAAATAAGTTCATAAGCCATTTATTCCATCAGGATCGTAGAACACGTTTTAAAAATCCAGGTTTCTCAATTCTCATAAATAAATATTTTGTATCATCTACTTGATCGTTCTAAACACGAGATGTCTACTTATCCTGCATATTCGATAAAGCATACCCCACATCGAGAAGGCAGTTAATAGGACTTTCTTGGCAGAACCTATAAACACGTAGCCATATGATGACATTTCAAGAGGGAAAGCGGGGACATCCCACAATTCATTACTTGATTACATGTACAATATGTTAATAACTTAAAAGACAATACTAATTCAAGTATTCTAGAAAATTTCATTTTTATCCGAATAAATTTTTTAAACATACTTTATTACTTTTGTCAAACTTTCTCTTTTAGGCGGGTACTGGTGGAGATATTAATGCATTGTTAGACCAACCAAATCATATTTTATTTGTTAGTAATTTACCAGAAGAAACTACGGATGCTATGCTTACAATGTTATTCAGTCAATTCTCTGGATTTAAGGAGGCCAGACGTGCTGCTGGTGGAGTTGGTTTTGTCGAGTATGATACTGAATCACAAGCTGCTGCTGCACGATCTGCTTATGAAGGATTTAAATTGACACCAACTCATGCTATGCAAATTACATTTGCTAAGAAATAAATATTACTTTTATTTACATGATTCGTTAGCCGATTATGTTTATTACTTTTCAGATGAAAATCGTCTAACACCGCATATTGAAATAGGGGGCGCATAGGTATCAACAACAAATAGGTCTCAACAACCACATTTGACTAAAATTCACAGTCCCATCAGACGATTTACTATCTCTTCAGACCACTGTACCTAAACCCATGACTGCACGTCGTATAGTTATATCAGTAAATAAGGACTCTTTACGAAAATCCAACCCTTTAAAACCTAGTTAAATCATCGTTTCTGTTACAAGCCTAAATTCGAAAGAAAATGAATACGACAGCAACGACACATGGTACGAAAGCACATTCGCGAAACGACGTGTACAGTAACGGTACAGATGTTCCAAACGATATTGGCCGAATACATGTGGAAGTGGAGTTGGTGTGAGTGTTGGTGTATTGATGGAAATAGTATTGGTTGTGTAGTGTTGTTAGTTTGTGCGTGCGATGTGAGTTGTTGGTGTGTGGTATTGAATGTGTGGGTTCGGCGGAGTGCGCCTCCGTGGCGCAATGGGTTAGCGCGTTCGGCTGTTAACCGAAAGGTTGGTGGTTCGAGCCCACCCGGAGGCGGCAGCCACTTTTGACGCCACACACAATCAACAACATCACCAGTCTATTCATCTCACTTGCACCAATACACGCACACTGTCCTCCCACTGCACGCATACACACACGGCCTACTCTCGATATACACGTCCACGCACAACCTCACTATCGTCTCTCTCTCCATCCGATGCCTACGCGTCACCTGTTCACAACTGCACGTCCACTCCGCCACACTCAAACAAAATTTACACTCTGCCACACCGTATCAAACACTATCGTCACACTATCAACACCTCCGATCTCATTCACTCGATGCTGAACACATTCTCACATATAACACACATCATGTGTTCAATCGGTCGACTGGCACACTTGGAACACCACTATGCTGTTTGACAATGCAGTTGACCAATGCGAACCAATGCTCCGTCCGAACACCCTCGACAATCGTCATCCAACTGATTGCGTTGTGAGCACACAGTCAGTGAACAACACATACGAGTGCAATTCGTTGCGACAATACTCGCCACTACGAAATCAAACGTCCACCATCCAACTGACTGACCACCAGTCAGTGTTCATTTGAACCGATGCAAAACTCGTCGAAACAATTCTCCGACTGATTGGACTGCGTTCTGAGCTGGCTGAGTGAGTGGGTGATTGGTGTCACTGAACGTAAGTGTATAAGTCGGTGCACGTGTAACAATCGGATCAGTGTGTGATTCGCATGCGCAGTGAATGTGAGTTAGGGAAGCAGTAGTGTGACGACAGTGACACTGGATGACGTGAATCACATGTGTGTCGAGTTGTCGTTGATCTGACTTGTGAGTGCATAGAATTGTGTTGTGACGATCGAAGTTTCAGTGACTATTGTGTCGAGATGTGTGAACATGTGTGTGCGTGTGTGCGCGTGCGTGTGCGAGTCGGTGTCGTTTGTGTTAGTTGTGATAGTGAGCGTTTGGTTGTGCGTGTAAGTGTGTGTGTTTTTGTGAGCGAGCGAGCGAGCGAGCGCGCGCGCGCCAGAGGAGATAAGAGTGTGCATTGGCAGTGTGTGTGTGACGTGACGGTGTGAGCGTTCTGGTTGTTGTGAACGATGTTGGCGGAATAGATGTGGTAGTGGAGTTGGTGTGAGTGTTGGTGTATTGATGGAAATAGTATTGGTTGTGTAGTGTTGTTAGTTTGTGCGTGCGATGTGAGTTGTTGGTGTGTGGTATTGAATGTGTGGGTTCGGCGGAGTGCGCCTCCGTGGCGCAATGGGTTAGCGCGTTCGGCTGTTAACCGAAAGGTTGGTGGTTCGAGCCCACCCGGAGGCGGCAGCCACTTTCGACGCCACACACAATCAACAACATCACCAGTCTATTCATCTCACTTGCACCAATACACGCACACTGTCCTCCCACTGCACGCATACACACACGGCCTACTCTCGATATACACGTCCACGCACAACCTCACTATCGTCTCTCTCTCTATCCGATGCCTACGCGTCACCTGTTCACAACTGCACGTCCACTCCGCCACACTCAAACAAAATTTACACTCTGCCACACCGTATCAAACACTATCGTCACACTATCAACACCTCCGATCTCATTCACTCGATGCTGAACACATTCTCACATATAACACACATCATGTGTTCAATCGGTCGACTGGCACACTTGGAACACCACTATGCTGTTTGACAATGCAGTTGACCAATGCGAACCAATGCTCCGTCCGAACACCCTCGACAATCGTCATCCAACTGATTGCGTTGTGAGCACACAGTCAGTGAACAACACATACGAGTGCAATTCGTTGCGACAATACTCGCCACTACGAAATCAAACGTCCACCATCCAACTGACTGACCACCAGTCAGTGTCCATTTGAACCGATGCAAAACTCGTCGAAACAATTCTCCGACTGATTGGACTGCGTTCTGAGCTGGCTGAGTGAGTGGGTGATTGGTGTCACTGAACGTAAGTGTATAAGTCGGTGCACGTGTAACAATCGGATCAGTGTGTGATTCGCATGCGCAGTGACAATGAGCTTGTTGGTATGATTGTGAGTTAGTGAAGCAGTGGTGTGACGACAGTGACACTGGATGACGTGAATCACATGTGTGTCGAGTTGTCGTTGATCTGACTTGTGAGTGCATAGAATTGTGTTGTGACGATCGAAGTTTCAGTGACTATTGTGTCGAGATGTGTGAACATGTGTGTGCGTGTGTGCGCGTGCGTGTGCGAGTCGGTGTCGTTTGTGTTAGTTGTGATAGTGAGCGTTTGGTTGTGCGTGTATGTGTGTGTGTGTTTGTGTGAGCGAGCGAGCGAGCGAGCGCGCGCGCGCGCCAGAGGAGATAAGAGTGTGCATTGGCAGTGTGTGTGTGTGACGTGACGGTGTGAGCGTTCTGGTTGTTGTGAACGATGTTGGCGGAATAGATGTGGTAGTGGAGTTGGTGTGAGTGTTGGTGTATTGATGGAAATAGTATTGGTTGTGTAGTGTTGTTAGTTTGTGCGTGCGATGTGAGTTGTTGGTGTGTGGTATTGAATGTGTGGGTTCGGCGGAGTGCGCCTCCGTGGCGCAATGGGTTAGCGCGTTCGGCTGTTAACCGAAAGGTTGGTGGTTCGAGCCCACCCGGAGGCGGCAGCCACTTTCGACGCCACACACAATCAACAACATCACCAGTCTATTCATCTCACTTGCACCAATACACGCACACTGTCCTCCCACTGCACGCATACACACACGGCCTACTCTCGATATACACGTCCACGCACAACCTCACTATCGTCTCTCTCTCCATCCGATGCCTACGCGTCACCTGTTCACAACTGCACGTCCACTCCGCCACACTCAAACAAAATTTACACTCTGCCACACCGTATCAAACACTATCGTCACACTATCAACACCTCCGATCTCATTCACTCGATGCTGAACACATTCTCACATATAACACACATCATGTGTTCAATCGGTCGACTGGCACACTTGGAACACCACTATGCTGTTTGACAATGCAGTTGACCAATGCGAACCAATGCTCCGTCCGAACACCCTCGACAATCGTCATCCAACTGATTGCGTTGTGAGCACACAGTCAGTGAACAACACATACGAGTGCAATTCGTTGCGACAATACTCGCCACTACGAAATCAAACGTCCACCATCCAACTGACTGACCACCAGTCAGTGTCCATTTGAACCGATGCAAAACTCGTCAAAACAATTCTCCGACTGATTGGACTGCGTTCTGAGCTGGCTGAGTGAGTGGGTGATTGGTGTCACTGAACGTAAGTGTATAAGTCGGTGCACGTGTAACAATCGGATCAGTGTGTGATTCGCATGCGCAGTGACAATGAGCTTGTTGGTATGATTGTGAGTTAGTGAAGCAGTGGTGTGACGACAGTGACACTGGATGACGTGAATCACATGTGTGTCGAGTTGTCGTTGATCTGACTTGTGAGTGCATAGAATTGTGTTGTGACGATCGAAGTTTCAGTGACTATTGTGTCGAGATGTGTGAACATGTGTGTGCGTGTGTGCGCGTGCGTGTGCGAGTCGGTGTCGTTTGTGTTAGTTGTGATAGTGAGCGTTTGGTTGTGCGTGTATGTGTGTGTGTGTTTGTGTGAGCGAGCGAGCGAGCGAGCGCGCGCGCGCGCGCCAGAGGAGATAAGAGTGTGCATTGGCAGTGTGTGTGTGACGTGACGGTGTGAGCGTTCTGGTTGTTGTGAACGATGTTGGCGGAATAGATGTGGTAGTGGAGTTGGTGTGAGTGTTGGTGTATTGATGGAAATAGTATTGGTTGTGTAGTGTTGTTAGTTTGTGCGTGCGATGTGAGTTGTTGGTGTGTGGTATTGAATGTGTGGGTTCGGCGGAGTGCGCCTCCGTGGCGCAATGGGTTAGCGCGTTCGGCTGTTAACCGAAAGGTTGGTGGTTCGAGCCCACCCGGAGGCGGCAGCCACTTTTGACGCCACACACAATCAACAACATCACCAGTCTATTCATCTCACTTGCACCAATACACGCACACTGTCCTCCCACTGCACGCATACACACACGGCCTACTCTCGATATACACGTCCACGCACAACCTCACTATCGTCTCTCTCTCCATCCGATGCCTACGCGTCACCTGTTCACAACTGCACGTCCACTCCGCCACACTCAAACAAAATTTACACTCTGCCACACCGTATCAAACACTATCGTCACACTATCAACACCTCCGATCTCATTCACTCGATGCTGAACACATTCTCACATATAACACACATCATGTGTTCAATCGGTCGACTGGCACACTTGGAACACCACTATGCTGTTTGACAATGCAGTTGACCAATGCGAACCAATGCTCCGTCCGAACACCCTCGACAATCGTCATCCAACTGATTGCGTTGTGAGCACACAGTCAGTGAACAACACAT